CACAAGAGTGTCCCACAAGAGTGTCCCACAAGAGTGTCCCACAAGAGTGTCCCACAAGAGCGTCCCACAAGAGTGTCCCACAAGAGTGTCCTGCAAGAGCGTCCCACAAGAGTGTCCCACAAGAGTGTCCCAAATGAGTGTCCCACAGGAGTGTCCCACAAGAGTGTCCCGCAAGAGTGTCTCACAAGAGTGTCCCTTAAGAGTGTCCCACAAGAGTGTTCCGCAACAGTGTCCCACAAGAGTGTCCTACAAGAGTGTCCCACAAGAGCTTCCTACAACAGTGTCCGACAAGAGTGCCCCACAAGAGTGTCCCACAAGAGTGTCCTACAGGAGTATCCCACAAGAGTGTCCTACAAGAGTGTCCCACAAGAGTATCCTACTAGAGTGTCCCACAGTAGTGTCCCACAAGAGTGTCCCACAAGAGTGTCCCACAAGAGTGTCCCGTAAGAGTGTCCCACAAGAGTTTCCTACAAGAGTGACCCACAAGAGTGTCCCACAAGAGTGTCCTACAAGAGTGTCATTTGGACCTATGTAGCTTTTTGAACGTGTTTGCATTTGGGTTCGTGGGCTCCATCTTGTTTTCAACTGCGCAACACAGTCTGCGCCTTGCATCTATACAACCAGCCCCCCAACAAAAACACAATTTTGCGTAGTTGGAAGATCTAGGTATGACCAGAACAACCCCAACGACTTGAGCGAATCAAGTACTTCAGTGCTTCGTCACCTTTTTGCTGACCTTCATCAAAGGACAAATGACCATCAGGCAACAAATGGAGGTCTAAAGTCTGAACTTCGGGAGGACTGCACAGGCGGTCTGTGGCGATTGGGTCTCAGGTGTTTTTGGTCTCTTCATGTCGAGCATTGGGTGAGCGAAATAGTCATAACTTCAAATCATGTGAACATGCAGGCCCAGGCCTTTGGCTGTTTGATTTTTAAGTTAAACCATTAGTACCCGTTCAACTGAAAAACACCGTTCGACCACCTGTGGACGTTCCACGTGCCTCATGTACGGAAATCAAACGCTGCGTTCGACGTCTGGCATGGTCCTTCCACGCGACGCGTCGACCGACGGCTGATGCTCTGTCCCAGGCGCGTAGGTGCCAGTGCTCCGGGTTCCCATGCAAGTGCCCAACACCGCATCAATGGACTCCAATTCCTGTGGACCAACGGATGCGTCGAGCGACCGCGTCGCTGGAACGTCTGCCAGGTCTTGGAGTTGCGACGGTTGGGAAACACCTCTTCTCCAGGTTAGGGGATTCACCCAAGAGGGGGGAACACACATCACCCCAAGCAAATGACAGGAATCCGACATCTTTCAGGTGCGTTGTAGCGCCGGATTTGGTTGCAATGCAATTTTGATTGAGACGGGTGTGGATATATTGAGACGGGTGCTGCAGCTGCCATTTGCAAAGCAACGTTAACACTTGGAAACTCATGCCCAGTACACCATCTGCACAGCGATGCTTCTACAAATTCTCTCTACAGCCGCCACGCAACGGGGTGCTTGGAGGGCATACCACCGGGTAGGCGTTGAGGGAACCACTCGCCGACGGAGCAAAAACCACTCACAGAAACACATCATATGCCTGAAAAGTCTTTGCCAAACAACCATAGTAATACCTGGACCTTCAAACGGGTGTCCAATGGAGATCCCTAGCTAGTGTAGAGGCTTCCAGCCAGGTGACCCCTTTGAAGGTGCTGGTAGTTCTATTATGGTCGTTTTAATTACCTCGTTTTACACCATCAAAGCATTCTTGTTGGTGGCCCCCGGCCGCCTGCACGGGGACGTGGCCCAGCTGTTGGGCGTGGCTTTGCCGCCGCACCTGCTCTCGGCGCAGCTGGTGCACCGCCTGGCGAGGCCGGGGCCGACATGGACCAGTCACGGTGAGGGGATTTGGACAGGGGGTCCAAGGAGATCAAGGATATAGGGACCTTCACATGTGGCCAGCGAAGTTCGTTCATGAGATGGTGACCATTTCGTTCGTGGTGGTCGTTCGGACATCGCTTCCTTGGCTTCGCTTGCATCTGTGTCGGGGGGGTGGAACCTTTGGCTGCCGTGTCTGACGACGGGCGGGTGAGAAACTGAGAAGTCTGTAAACGGTCAACTGCTATTACATCGTGGGATGAAAGAGGACATATATACCAGGGCCCCTGGTTTGGGGTGGTTAATGGACACCCCTTGACCTCTAAGGAGCTATTATTATAGACACTCCTTAGGGGGCCCAGGTATATGGAAACTCATGGGAGAGATGATGATTTGACAGGCATGGTGATGTCATCCAACCATTGGCTATTGCTGCTACTGCTGCAATTAGAATTAAGATGACTCCACCTTGGTGTTTATGCCCATGTAGTCCATGTATAGGTTAACAAAGATTAACCATGTGCGTCCGCACCCACCGAAATTTATTCGGCTATGGCGGAATTTGAATAAATGCCCACATGCAGGATGGTAACCTAGGGCTCCAAAAACCTTCAACCTTCTGAAAAGGTGCTTGAGGGTGGGTGCCAGAATTGAACAACACTATTTGAGGTACGCAGTCAGCTGTGTGGTAGAAATGTCTGTGGGGATGCAGGATTGAAGAGCATTGGAGGGACTAAGTATATTCAAGCTGCTACCTCAAGCCATCTCAAGCCCAACCATGATGTTCATCAAGGTTCCACGGCCGTCTTCTTTTGCAAATCTCTACGAAAGCTCCAACTGGACAATGTGCCAAGCTTCGCTCCACCCTCTTGGAGGAATGTGTTGAGCTTCGCTTGTTTCAACATGCATGGTCTTCTACAAAAGCATTCAAAAGCATCAAGTGTCGTATAAATGGGTGTGAGTCAAAACCTCCCCCACCAAACCATGGTAATTAGGTTGACCTCCCTTAAAGGAATCTGTTCATGTTCAGGGTCAACCAGGGTGCCCAGGTGTTGACCCACGGCCAAATGAATGTTCAGGAACACAATTTCTAGTATCAGTATGCTTAATTACTGCCCTTGGACCACCTCACGCTTGGACCTCGCACATCTCAAGTCAACGTCCGTACAGTACTCAGGAAGGCACTCCAGTCCAGGTGCAGCACATACTATATACTGTTAAAAAAGAAAACAAACTTAAGCGAACACAGCGTCTTTTTTTGATGTGGGTCAACTTCCAACCGTTTGGAAAAAAGCCGAGCCCAAGAACTCGAACAACATCCGAAGTCAGTTGGACCAAAACACCTCATTTGGGATTTGCAAACTTCAGGAACCGGGTATTAATTCCCTAGGCATCCAGTCGCACCTTCTCAGGTACGGTGATGTGTTCGACACTGTTATGTATATAGGTGCCAGGAGGGTCCAAGTACCTGCTGAGGTTCGGTAGGTTCGGTACGACGTCCCAAAAGAGCTAGAGTCGGTACATGGATTCTGTCGCCAGGGAACAAGACAAGTCACCCCTTTTGAAGCAAAACCCAGGTGGAGTCTCCGAATCGAAACGTTCTTTAAGGTTATAGATTCAATATCACATATTCCCCATGCCAGGGGATTTACCCAGTGTGCCTGGGCACATCCCACCGGTGTCACACGTCCTCCGCCCCAACCGGGTTCACCGGTACCTCCAATGGATCGCTCTCAGTTTCCGAGCTACTGAGGCCTGTCGATCGGGTCGACCAGGATCTTGGACCAACCCTATAGGCTCCGGCCCACCGAACCTGAGGTTCAGGTGCCAGGGGTAGGTGCCGGGGAGGGTCTGTCCCTAGGCCAACCTCCTCAATTTCGGTGGGCCAGGGGTAGGTGCCAGGGGGGGTCTGTCCCTACCGAACCTTAGGATCTGAAGACCATGGATGGTCTGGAGGTATTCAACCATGTGACCTGCTGGAACACGACGACCAGACGGCGGGTCTGGCAATCTACCAGGCCGGGGGTTGATGAATCCAAGAGTCACTACCATGATTTGTCCTTGTTGGTATAGGACTCCTGGCCGGTGATTAGTTTATATTAGTTTCATAGGCGGGTCATCCCGAACCACCGTTAGTTTTACGCAGGATTTTTAGACTATAGGTCAGTTTGGCACCAAATGCCTGTTGGTTGTACACGACCAGGGGATCAACTAACCAAGGCCGTGTTTCGTTCCATCCGACGGCGGAAAAAAACGCACGAACTCTCCGACGCAAACATCGGAAGTCGAGGTTCGAGCCCCGTTTCAGGGCGACCACGGCTTCAACGGGTGCGCTCCACTTCCGGGGGAGTCGGAGAGTATGCGTGAAAGCGAGTGCGGGCAGAAACATGAGCTTTATTTCTCCGAAGAGGACCGACCCATTTCGGACATAGAATCAAATCCACTGAGCAAAACTTGTGGGACAACAGAAAAATGAACCTAGAACCCAAACATGGCTCGCTTTGATAGAACACAAGCGCATGCTGAGCGGCTGGTCGTCCAAACATACTGTAAAACTATATTTGTGAAACTATATCTAGAGGTCACTCAGGTTCTGGAGGTCACTCATTGCTCTTGACTTGAAGCGGTGAAGTAATGGGTCGATCTCTTGGAAAATGACATGTGTTCAGTTCCTTTACTCTCTTCATCCCATTCCCATTCATGCTAGCCATTGACATCAGTGAAACCAGCCTCGTACCTTTTCCCCCAAAAAGCTTCCTGACCCACCATGGAGAAAAATGGGTTGAATGCCGAACAGATTCGGGCACTACAACACCCGGCCAACATGACCGACAGTCACAAGCTCACAAGGAAGTCGGGGTGCGGACTCCATGGAGCTTAGGGCACCCCTGCCCCTGTCACCTCCACTGGATGGGACGGCAGGCCCGGCACCTGACCAGTCCTCGTCCCAGTCCGCGGAGCGTAGACACGGCCATCTCCTGCGATTTTTCTCCGGGAGCCCACTGAAGTGATGTTTGCTTGCATTGCCTGGCCTTAATAACCAGTATATATACTATCACATAATATGATGTATGTTGTTCTTGGATGACACGGTATGACACGCTGAGATGTTCTTCGGCTTATGACACGCCGCTTTGGGGATGAAGGTCCAAACGGCTCCATCGGGTCGCAGGGACAAAGGTCACATCCCACGGCTGCGAGGGGCAACGGCGGGCGACGGCGGCTTGGAAAAGAGTCCAATTCGCTGGCCAGGATCGGTAGTAGAAATCTATTATATTGGACCTTGCCTGATCAGAAGGATGATGGTTGCTGTGATTTCCTTCATATCATTCAAGTCATTTCAAAACTGTGGGTCTGAGCGTGAGTCGGTCTTGGAGAAAGGAGAAACCACATCCGCAACGTTTGCCTGCAATTTCTGGCAGGACAAGCGGAGTTGCTCTGAAAATTCTGCAGTCAACAAACACCCTAGATCGAGTTGAAACGCACGGGTTTGCACAAGGTCCTGCCTTTGACCTGTTTGGTTCACACACTTCCCCCCCGAAACCAATTGAAGTCCGATAAACATTCCCAAAGTGGATCCGGGATCCGGGATCAACATTTCCGCACTGGACCAATCTGGTCCGTGACGGCTTTGACGATATATATTGCGGCTTTCCTATTTCATGTAAGCGAACTCCCAGGGTGTTGGACAATTTGACATACAGTAATTTATATAACAACCTGTCCAGCACCTTCAAAGGGGTCACCTGGCTGGAAGACCCTACACCACTAAGGGACCTCCAGCCAGGACACCCCGAAAGGAGGTCCAGTAGATATACACTGAGAATCTGTTTCTGGACCATGGCATGCTTCAGGGAAACACCACGTCCTTCCCCGTCCATTGGCCACGTCCCGTCCTCCTCCACCGTCCCGCAGCGCCGAACCGGAGCGTCCCGCCGTTCCGGAGCGTCCCCGTCCATGCCTCGTCGGGCGTTCTTCGCGCAACGAGGGTGCGAAGAGCGCGAGGGAACTGTCCCTGCCTAAGACTATACCGAGACACTCCATGTATGGCACCCCCCAAGCCACCCCAATGTAGGCACATATGGCATACATGGAGTGTCTGGGATACAACAACCGTAGGTGTTAGCGGGGTCTGTCCCTGCCTTCGTTTCGGATGTGGGACGAGCGTCCATATAGGTGTCCTAGGACGAAATCAAGGACGAAAGAAGGCAGGGATCGCGGGATCAAGGCACCCCACGACGATGGTTGACCCCCAGAACATGAACAAGGTCATGACGGTTGTGAACAAAACCGCCAGGACCACTACTATAGACTATGGAGGTGCCTGAGCCAAGGCTTTTCAGCGCCAAGGGTTGTGACCCCAAACACAAACGGAGTCTGGTATTAGAGAGCCCAAATGTACAACCCAAGCTTTCCCGGGAAAGCTAGGAGGCCTAGCTGAAACATCTTGAAACATGGTCCTTACAAAAACACAGCCCAGGCAGTCGGCCGGTTCGGTCCAGGCGCCCCACCGTTGCGTGCGAACGCGGCGTTCACAGCAAACGTCCAGGTCTCCATGGTGTCGCTGCCCCGAAACGAAGAATTCAGAGGTAACGACTCCATGAACTATATCCCAGACACTTCATGGGACTGCCATATGTGCCCATCAGTTGGGGTGATTTGGGGGGTCAATGTAGGCATATATGCCATACATGGAGTGTCTGGGTATAGCATATATGCTTTTTTTAATTCACATATGATGATAGATTTGCATACCAAGAATGTTCCAAGAAGTAGTGCGAATCCATGCACCATGAATCATGTTTCACATGAAATTGTTTTGAGATGTTTTGAGATGTATGGTTTCTGCCATCGTGTCGTGGGTCTGGAGTCGGGTCGTCTCCATGGGACTACCATATATACCTACAACTATACCTACATTGACCGCCCAAACCACCACCCCAACTGATGGGCAAATATGGCAGTCCCATGGAGTGTCTGGGGTACGAAACCAAGGAGTCACAAGTCGCATCCAGGCTCGGCATCCTGAAACACCCTTCCTCCATGAAACACCCTGACATGGAACTGGGTCTTGGTTCTTCTTCTAGTACCTGCAAGTAGTGTACCTTCTGAGACCAGTCATACCTTCTGAGGAGGCACCTGGAGCCGTAGGGTTCTGTTTTAAGGAATGCTTCTCTTCCTTATGATATATCCTCCTCTTTTGATCCATGCAGAGCTGGATCTCTGGGGGCATCTCGGGAGCCCCTGAGTCTCTGAGTCTCGCGTTGAGACCCCCTCATTTGGACCTATTATCAGGCAATATCCCAAACACAAAAAAATGTGTCATATTTACCTACCTTAGGGGTGGTTTTGTTTCAGCAAATGTAGTCATATACATAATATTCCAGTAAGCTGTGTCATGGTATAGCCGCTTCAGCCATCGCATTACCTAAAGAAAACAACACCGCCAAAATCTACCGAAGAAGTCCTTACCCGGAGGTTTCCGAAAGGACACCATTGATCAAATTGCGATTTACAAAAAAATAACATGGCCGTGCTAATCCCAAACACTCCATGGGACTGACATATTTACCGATCAGTTGCGGTGGTTTTGGAGGTCAATGTAGGCATATGGAGTGTCTGGGAATTATGAAAACAGCTCAATGACCATTTCTAAAATAGCTTTGGAATCGGCTAGGGCATATACCTATCCACCGGCAAGCATGCCCTGAGTTTCTGGTGACTGGCTGAATGCCCTTGCTTCACATGTGGCGCCGACTTCCTGAGTGTTCCGGGAAAATGCAAGGCTTTCTGTGGGGAAACGAACCATCAAAATCCAAGATCATCAAAGACAGGTTTGACAGGTGATCCACGTTTCAAACACCAACAAACACCTATCTATCTAGCAGTTTTCGTGATTCCTTGGTGTATGTTCAAGTGCTCCTTTTCCGGTGATCCCAATTTCAGATCTAAACATCTTTCGCCGGCCTCCCCGAGCCCTGCTGCTAGCGCCCAGGCGGTCCAGGCCGCCGTCCCGGCGCCGGCGCCGGTCGCCCGCGCGCGGGGCGCACCACGCATGCGGGTGGGTCGGTCGGTCGGTCGGAGCGGCGTCCGTGGGGGTGGTCTATGGATGTTTGGAGCGGAGCCCTGGGATGTCATGCCCAAGAAGGACTGAGGGATGACAATGCTCACAACCTTCGCAGCGTTATCACGCGTTTTGGAGGCCGGTAGGAATGGGTGTTGGAGACTTTGTAGGGTCAGGCATTTTGCTAAACAACCAGAAACACCGAACAAGGCCTTCTGGCAAATTCATTAATGGGTATATATTATCAATCTTCACTGTTCACAATTGCAGCATATCCCCGTTGATTTTGGCAAAGTTCCATGTTTGTCCAATCAATGAGGTTGCCATCAAAAGCTCATAGAGGCAAAGTCACACAGCATCTGCTGGGCAGCGGATTTCTCTCACGCTAAGAAGGTGTTTGTCAATCTCAACACACGTTTCCTCGCAAATACCCAGGGACCACTATAGTTGGTAACCAGTCGTTCCAGTTCGACTTTGACCAGTTCGACCGAACGAAACCTCGGTTTTTGAGTGGTATAGCTGGGTCCACTGGGAATCAACCAGCCGGGCTTGGCCAGTCTAACTGTCTAACTTCTGCTTAAGAATGGCTCGGCTCGAGCCGAACAGCAGCTGGCCGCTGGCGACTGGTCTGGCTGGTTGTCCCCCTGCTCCGCCCGTTTCGGTGTCGACCAAGGAGTCGGTGCGGTTTCTCGTCTGTGGCCGACATGAACCACTGAACATGTAGGTTTCTCGTTCGTGCGAAAGATCCCAGGTCCCAGTGGTCATGAATTTGTATATATATATATGTTTTCTTGCATATATCTTGCATATAGGTGTTGCTTTTTCAACCAGGACCCCCCTGTAAGGGGCCTTCGTTGGATATAGCCACAACAACGATGTGATTCGGGGTGTCCATTCACCACACCCGAGTGTGTGGGTCCTGTTGATATCAAAGGGGCGATCCGAACCTATACGGGATGGAACCTTCCCACAACACCCCGCGGCATTGCATGGAATTGAATGGACACACGCCGCGTCCCATAAATGACACATATACTAAGATTCACTAACGAAGTACTGGTATGTGTTCTTCATGAAGGTCGCGTCAATCCCCTGGCAAATTCAACTAAGGGAACAGTATGAACTTACCGTAGGACTTTCCAAATACTGAGGAAACTAAAACACACCAATTGAAAGGGCCACTACCAACAATCCCGCTGACGAACAACTCCTACTGCACCAGCAAATCAACCGCCGAATTTCAAGGACGTTCCATTATATATATATATATATTGTTTTTATTCTGGAGGTCACCGGAGGGTCAGCCACTACGCAATACAAATACCGCCTCAATTGAAGAACTGGCATGTTGTGCCAGCCAATGGATGATCCATCATACAAATACCGCGGGTGCCTCTTCGTTTCTGCAGTGGCAAAACCAAACATGGTGCTTCAAAAACCCAAACACTTGGACCAAAGCATCTGCTCAATCAAAAGTGTTTCCAAAACTTGTCCATGATGCTTGGTTTAGGAACCTCAGGAAAAAGAGGGAAAAAGTTCGAACACCTCTGAGAGTCCCAAAGACGGAGTCCATCCAGTTGACGAAGAAGAACTTATGTGGAGCCGATGTCAACAGACTCCAGCTCCAATTGATTCTCCACTCTCGGTGGCTCCAGACTCCGCGTCCCCGCGTCCGCACGTCCTTCTCGGAATAACCAGAGGGGCCGATTTGGTGCCATCTACCTATATCCCAAACACTCCATGGGACTGGCATAGGACTGCCGATCAGGCCAGGGGTGGTGCCAGCGGGGGTCTGGCTTGATCGCCATATACTCCAGTCCTGGAGTGTATGGGTATTACGGTATTGGGTCTTCATTTCGGGGTGTCCCCTCTACCAATCCACCCACCTTACAAAAGGCCACCAGCCGAGCCGAGCCGACCAACAGCTCCAGCTCATGGCTGCCTTCTGGGCGCCCTCCGTGGTGTCCATCGTCTTCGTGGTGGGGGCCGCCGCTTTCAGGCGTGCGCCCGCCGCGTGGGGCAGGTGTGCTCGGAGGCAACCACCATGCTGGCAGGCGTCAGGCTGGCTCCAGGCTGAAGGTTGGAATCGTCAACTGTAGGTCGGTCGCTAGACCCAAAACAAACCTCCCTAAGAATCCTTGGGTTTTCCATGGCAGGGGTAGGACCCTCCATAGCAGGGGTCCGGACACTAAAAACCCTGTGTTTAAGGGCCCGGATTCTTAGGGCTTTCATAAACCAAAAGTTCCTGAGAAGGAAGGACGTGGTTGGAGCCCTGTTAGGTCTATTATGGTTGATTATGATCATGTTGATGCGATTGCTGGGGGCCCGCCAATGGGTGTCCACACCCAGAACCACCCCTCGATCGCACCAGTCGCGAAGCCATGTGGGAGCCATGTGGTCAAAAAGCGACAGCTCCGACCGGCAGAGCGCGTTGAGAGGTCATTGCCTGCCCCAAAACCATGCCTTCCCTGTGTTGACCATGGCGGTGCATAGCGGTGCTCATCCCATGGTCGGTGCTCGAGCAATACTCCCAACGAGGAAGTGATCCGTTCAGCTGAGCTTCACAGGGGCAACATATGGTCCGTACGACTTCGAGCGAATGCCTGAAGACACAGAGTCCCACGACCCAGGCGCTCCAAACAGCTCTTGGTCCCTCAACCCTAAAGATTTGAGGTTCCGGCCCCTACTTAGGAGGGCCCATGAAGACACACTCAGAGTCCTACTATACCCAAACACGACCCGTCTGGGACTGCCATAGGACTGCCAATTTGACTGGAGGTCAATTGATCGGCATATATGACAGACATGGAGTGTCTGGGATGAGTAAGATCTATTAACATCCTGACGGCAGGCTGTCACTCCAGTTCTGCAACTCCTTAGATAAGAATGGATCCACGACCATGTCACCATAACCTGTGGAACATTGGAACAGCCCCTGACCATCCGCTGTTCACCAGCGCAGGATGCCGATTTCATGAAGTCCTTGGACCCCAAGTATACCCAGAAGGGGGCATTCACCCAATTCGGGAGAAACCAAACATATCACCCGGAAGCAAAACATAGCAAAAACTTCAACCTCAGGGGTCTTACGCTTCCGACACATCAGCTTCGCTTCAAAAAATCCCGGCCCAGGCATCCTGGCCTCTGTTTCCCAGCCGCTGTTCAAGTAGTACACCGCGGTCAAGCGCCGAGCCGTCCCGCGTTCACCCTGGTGGAGCGCATCGCGGTGCCGCGCATAGCGTGCGCCAGCACCGGGGTAGCGCGCCAGCATGCAGCTCGCGCGGGAGCTCTCGAGGCCGTAGGCCTGGAGAGATCTGGCAGATGGCGGTGCCCAAAGAGGTATCCTCATAAGACCTCCAACACGGTATCAGCCTAACCCGGCTTGTGAGGTGTTATATAGATTAGATGGTGTTTGGGATATATATATATATCTCAACAACACCACGTTCCAGCACCGTAAAGTCACCATCTTCTATGACACCGTTCCACCCAAACAAGAGACGCTTCTTCCCGGATGCTTCGACACATGAACCCCGGGATCGGCACACGTGCGTCCATCGCCAAACGAAACTGCGGGAAGGCCCCGTCGATCCGGTGATTTGTCCACCTTCCCTCAACCTCCCGGGGGCGCGTGAGCGCCTCCCAAAACAATCCGGCTCGGTGCTTTCCCAGACACTCCATGTATGCCATATATGCCGATCAGTTGGGGTGGTTTGAGGGGTCAATGTAGGCATATATGACATACATGGAGTGTCTGGGTTTCATGGATGTGGATGGGAAGATGGCCCCAATTTCGGTTGACGATGCGCTCGGCCAAACAAGTGGTGAACTCCACTGAGTCACTTCCCATGGAACGTGAGTCCGAGTGTTTACCCTAAACGCTCATGGACACGCATATGGAGGGGTCGGACCCTCAAATGGATGTGTTTGGGGTCTCAGTTCCTGGGTTTTTGAGGGGCCAAGGGCAGTGTTCCCAGGAGTGTGCATTTGTCCAGTTGCCTCTCAAATGCCCTGGGGGTTCGCGGACTGCACGAACAGGGACCTCAGGTACCCCACAAACATGTGGATTTGCTGTTGGAACCAGAAAAATGTAACTATTTAGAAGGGGATTCACAGAAATGGACAAATCAACATAACCCGGGCCATGTCCCTGGATCAGAAGTGTTTATCTTCTCAACATGGATGGCACTTTGTCGCATGCGCAGTGGACAAATGCAACCTGGGACATCCTGGAATATAGAGAAACAAATCGACACATCCAAGGGCAGTCTTGAATGCAATTCATGTCTTTCACTACTTCTGGTGGAACCACCCTCCACATGGCAATGCGTGAGATTGTGTCCAGCAGGGGTGGCATACTGACAGGACATGCCTTTTTTGGTGGCATCCTCCCCAATGCAAGATGTTTGCACAACTCTTTCGGAAAGGCGATTTAAATGGTTTCGTACGGAGCCAAGACAGATATATTGATTAGTGGATTGAGGGCACAATCCCCAAAAGGTTGTCTATCTGGACCTACAAAACAACATCTTGGGGTGCCAGTGCCATCGCTCCAAGGCCGTCAAATCCTTCCAAATCCGGTGTGGGGATTCACCCAACGAGATGTTCTTTCGAACACCGATCTGCCAGGCCGCAGGCTGCGCAGGTCAGTAAGGTCTCGGTCCGCCAGGCCTCATCCATCTCCCGCCGCAGTGCGCTGAGCATGTGCAGGGCCACTTGCAGGTCCTCGAGAGCGTCTGACATCCGATCTAAACCAGACCCGCGATCTCGGGGGGTGATTTTTTTTGTTCATCATTGAGTTAAGTTGTTGTCAGCCAATTTCTATGTCGGCAATACATGGATGTAAGATTGCTGACACTGACCAAGAAGATGGCTGCAGGATGCAGGGAATCACTGCTGAGTCCAAAATAAGACTGATTTCTGGGGGTATGTCCAGGGGTGTTTGCCAAGTTCTTAGAATGAAGACCCCGAATCACCTCTTTTTGGGGCTATCAATGAATAGAAGCCCCTTATAGGTCCTGGTATAAATTATGAGGTCATAATTAAGAAAACAGGACCTTCCATCAGGTGGTTTTTGGACACCTCCTAACCTCGAAGAAATCTTATTTGCTGCGGTTGGTCCTTTTGTGGTTTAAGCACGTCCACGACATAAAAAGCACATGTTTTCCAACCTTGTGAGGCCGGTGTATTTATCTCCCCCTCTTGAGAGGCCCTTGGCCCTTTGCCTTACCTCTTTAGTCAGCCTTACCTCCCTAGATTTTTGTGCTTGTAATCCTTATTGCCGTATCCTTGCTGCTTCTGTGTTTTCCTTCCCTGCCTCTTTGCAATCTTGTCAGTCCCAGTCTCTCAGTGATTGCCTCTTTGCAATCGTTTCATAAACATGGCTTACGAACACATATGTTTCTTTGTTCATTATTTGTTCAAAAAAGAGGAACATGCCATCATAGCTGGTGCCTACTAATGAAAGGCTATCACAATCGTACCTCGTCCTATATACGCGTCCACAAAACAGAGCGCGAGGTTGTTTGCCACAAATGTTAGTCCATAGCCGTTTGTGCGCACAGCAAGCCAAGCTTGCCACATCTGCCTTTCACAGGCTGCCAGGAGCTTTACACGTCACTATACACTGTACATACTTGACTTCTCCAACACACGCCTTGCTAATCAGCTAATCCATGCTAGCTCCGGTCTTGGAGGTTTGAGGAGTGGCTGCAGCATCGAGTAGCGCGTTGGTGGATGCCACAAGTGTGGCGTTGAAGGTCACCTTCTGAAAGAAGATACTTGTTTCGCTTCAGGGACGCAATCTCCTTCCGAGCAACACGACGAGCTGTTTCCTGACTCTTCAACAAAGAGTTGATGTACATCCCCTCAAAGCGGAAGATTGCGGCCATCCGGACGCCGAGACGTCGTTCCCACAACCTTGGCGAGGACCATCCTCACGTATCCTCACTCAAATGAACGAACCTGATCTTCACGAACCTGATCTTCTTGTAAAGATTGGGGCTCTCTTGGGCAGTGCACTACGGCGTAGGGCAGCGATTGGCTGGCTGGGTGGGTGGATCTCGCGAGGGTCGTGCTGGCTGGGTCGCGCAAGGCGGAAAGGAAGGGTACGTGGTTCCAACGTGCAGACCAGAAAGTCATGGTACATCATGATAATTGCATGGTTCCACATGGTTCTACATGGTTCCACATGGTAATTGCATGGTTCCAAAAGAATCCAAAATTTCATTCACCAGGATAAACATCGATGAGTCGGCACTTCGCGTCCAATTCATCGAACCGTTCCTCATGTTCCTCGACTTCTCGTCGTCGGACCGTCGGACGGAAGTCTGTCGCAGCAAGTCCGTCCCACATCCTAAACCCTTTAGACTTCGTCCAGGGACTTCGTCCTGGGCCCCACCGGGCGCCCACCCTCCCGGGAAAACCCCCGCATCCGTCCTGCTCCGAAGGCTCGGCGGACACCTGGCGGCACGAAAGCGTGCGAAAGAACGCGAGCGTGCGAGGTGAAGTCGCCAGCTTCGGTGAGTGCAAAACCTCTGCATGTTCCAGCAGAGGCTTTTCAGAACCCGACTGTATCGACTATCCCTGTTGGGTACCCCAGGTGAGGTTTTTGAGGGCCCTCTTTTTGATGATCAAAAACATAATCTATATCCGTTTTTTTCTGGTGATCATCATGATCAGCTGGTGGCTGTTGACTTACTCCCATGGAAATCAAGGTCCGCAAGATTCAGGAGACAACCCACAGGGGTTCAAAGCCATTTGGTCGAGGACTAGATGTCCAGTTGTAAAGTTTGGGCCGAGTCGTCTCAACTGGCGGCCAGTCGGCTCATCCCCAAAACGATCCATGAGACAGCAGTCCAAACTCCCCGCCCCATGACTGATGGTTTTGAGTGGTTTTCATGGGTCACATTGACGCCACCAATGGATCCTCTGGGATCTCTCATGGATCCTCTGGGGACTTCAGGGGGAACAGTTCATGCCCTGAGTTCTTGTGCTGGGCGCCATTCATGCAATGAAAATGGTTCGCACTTGCAGCTTTTGTTCAACCGAACATGTACTTCTACCAAATCAAAAAGGGCTTTACGAGTAACCACAGACTTGCCAAACATGAGCAGGTCACTGCACATGCATGGCTCATGGAGCCCGGGCACACGTCTTCCTGGTCTTGCTCATCTTCCATGAGCACAAGAACTCTGCAGCAAATGAAGACATGATGAAATATGCGGACATACCAGGACCCTCCAAGGGGTGCCCTGTCTGGAAGCCTATAGGTAGTGTGGGGTAGTCCAGCCAGGACACCCCTTGGAGGGCCCGGCCCCTATATACTTATGACTTATGACATGTATGGCCCCTATGTGCCTTTAGTTCTTTTGAGTCCTCTTCATCACCGTGAGGTCCGGCCACGTGCCCTGAACAAAACCCGCGGGTTCCCGCGGCGCGGCGGTTTCGGAGGCGGCCTGAGCCTGGCGCAAGGCCTCCAGGGCCTCGGGAAAACCTGCGCCAAGCAACAAGAACCCAAAAAACAACCCGCAACAATGGCCGCCAACCCCAAGCCACACAGGCCACCTGTGAAGCCCCAAAACGCAAGTAAACCACAAGAGACTAGAGCCACAAAAGCCATGAAAAAGCGAAAGCCAGCAGAAGCCAAAAGCCATGGAAACCATCGAGAACCGGCCCAGTGCAAAAGACAAAAGCAAGAAACACATACCCGGCAAAAACATACAGTTTCGCAGTCAACATACACCTTGAAGGTGAAAGGATTCAGCGAGAACTGCTTGGACAAATAGCCACTCATTGTCTCGACGGCTCTGCCTGGGTCTTCTTGTTGCTTTCTTCGATCTTCTTAGACAAACCTTTCCAATCAGGATCGACCTTCATCAGGGAATCTGGGCTTAGTTTCCGGGAAATGCCACTCCCACACTCCTTATATATGCATGCCAGGGAATGTCAGTCTCCCAACCAAGGGGCCATGTTCCTACTTCTACTATAGAACACATCTTCCCCCCGGAATTCGCAAGCTAAAGCACCTGTGTCCAACATCTTTCCAAGCAGGAAAAAACACACCTCGTCCAGAAGCTGACGCAAAAAGAACAACAAACAACACAAAACACGGTGAGCCGCGCCGTTTCCCGCGGTCTGTTCTTCGTCACCTCCATGACCCACGGTGAGCCAAGCCATTTCATCGCCACCTCGGGGGCCGCAGCGGCTGACACGAATCCCCCGAAGCGCTTGCTCGGACCGGAGGTCATCAGCACGACCCCTGCGACCGAAACTTCGGTGACCGAAAATAGAAACTCCAAAGGGTACCTGCCCTAAACACTCCATGGGACTGTCATATATGCCGATCAATTGACCCCTCAAACCACCCCTGGCCTGATCGGCATATATGGCAGTCCCATGGAGCGTCTGGGTGCCCTAAACACTCCAAGCCTACATTGACCCCCTTTTCAACCGCCCCAAGGTATGGATTCTGCCAGTGCGGTCGGACTGGTGACTGACCTTCTGGACGACGGACCAGAGTTCCTCACACCTCCCGATCCGGTCACGAAGACACATGGATTGGGGCGGGGCAAAAGCCCGCCGTGCCACACACACCCATTGTGGTGAACATTGGTGAAATATGGATGGTGTACTGCTGTCATTGGGATAAAACGATGTTAAATTGTATGTGAGGATTCCAGAGGTGGAAGGTTTGGGCCATATCAGGGCACTGGAAAAGTGCGGTCAGGCTTGCTAAAATGCATGGGGCATGGGGTAACAAGGTATGATGATCCCTCCATGTTCTCCCACTCCATCCCCGTACACTTCTCATGCTGGATTCTCAAATCCACCCAAGACTCTTCGATGGAGATCTTTTAAACCATCAACGTCTCACTTGCAGCTACAATAGTTCTTCTCTGCTGCGATTTCCGCACCTTTCGTACGTACTTTCATTCTTCCACGATCCTCCAGGCCTCCTGGAGACATGGGCTGATATCAACCTGTATCCTGTTGGAACATGTTGGAACCGGAAATTCCTCTCAAGGAGAACCCCCTCACACTGACAGCCTGAGGACACTCCCTCCTGGCATGTTCTGGTCAACGGTTGATTCATTTAACCCCTAAAAAGGTGTAGAGATGTTGGTCAGGGGCTGTTGTATAACTTGGCTGTCCAGGACAGTCCTTTGCTAAAATGAAGGGTTTGGCCAAACCAGTAGGTAGGCTAAAGCCTTCATCATAGCAAAGTGGTTCAGTAGGAATCTTGTCAAAACCGAACGGACTAAGGGTCTAGGAGCACGCCTGTGCACAGTCAAGTCAATCAAGAGTCAACATTGTGGCCGCACCTTTTGCATTCCAAAGACTGCACTTCTTCATCAGCAAGTTGTTCAGTTGGCAACTCTAGGTCCCTAAACAACATCCGCTGAACTTTAGAGAGTACTTAATCACTCGAACATCCGGCCCGTCAAACCGCCCCAAACACCGGCACGTTGCCTCACCCACATCCCAGCCACCACTTCCTGCCAGGCCAAGTGGCGCACTTCCTGGCTACGCCACACGCTCTCTCCTCCCAGCCGCGCTGGCCGGAGTGCTTGGTAGGCTCGCGCGCCTCGGCGCACCAGCGCGGGCGCCTGCGACGGGGAATCGCCAGGTCCAGGTGTCATAGTGGGCCCTCCCTCAACTGGATTGAAAGCAGAATAACTTCCAACCAGGACTCACAAAGGAATGCTCAATGGAGGTAGTCGGGGTGCCCAGCAAGACCCGGGCTCTTTCTTCGAGGCCTGTTTTTCGTCTACGTAGCCTATGCAACATATTAATATATATTATATAGTTCCAAGAGGCCATCAAACCATCCTTGTATGGAAGAGTTGCTGACATTCTGCTCAGGGTTCGTTGTTCATTCCCACAGCTCTTGGAACGTTCCCGATCCCGCATGAAGCAGCCAGCCAAGCTCTAACAGCTTTTCACCAAACAGTCCGACAGTCCGGCACAAAGGACACAGCTGATGGCTGACCACACAGAACCCTTAAACAACATTCCCTATAATAGGGCTCCGACCACCTCGTAGTTCGACCCCCCTGGCACCCACTCCAACCACCGAACCTCAGGTTCGGTGGGCCGTTTGGTGCCCGGGATTCAACCACCATGAACGTCCGTGAGTTCACCGACTGGCTCTCCTGCTCTTCCGCGACCTCCGCCCATGCCCGTCGCCCGCCTGGGTTGGGTCTACGGCTCCCGAAGCTTCGCCAAAACACCTGGCGGCGGGCGGGACGGGCCTGGTGATCTTCTACCGAGTGCCATGCTGGGGGACCTCCCAAAAACGTCCCGGAAAGAAGGAACATATGCAAACATCGAAATTGATGCTATATCTATTGCAATACCCATGTTCTCTGAAAGTTGCGACTGGGCCACGAGCGAGGAACCTGTCCAGCTAGACTGTCTTGGGCGGCGGGCAAGGAACGACAGCATCACCCGTTCGGCCCGGCCCAGCGAAGACCTGGCCCAGCACCTTCCTGCTTCGGCCAGTGGCTTCGGCCAGTCTTTGACACCCATGACCCCTCCCAGCAGCGAAGCTACACCGAGCTACTCCACCCACATGACGGCCCCTCCACTGTCCACCGAGCTACTTAACTGTCCCCTTGATGTTCCAAGCCAACAACTGCCTCAAGAACTCCAAGATCAGATGTCCCAAGCCCCGTCCCAGCCTTGGCCTTCGGAAGGCGGGGCTTTCATTCCCACCCCTGCGGCAAGCCCAAACAAACCCTTAAAGAAGTCCAAGCCTAAACCAAGCCCGTTCGCGTCGTGTCTTTGTTTACTCCGACGCCCTGCGTCGTTGGTTTCCGAATGGCCTCTCTGTCAGGAAGTGATCCAGGATGCAAATCCCCGACAAGTTGAGTTCCTCCACCTGGCACGGCATCCCAAGACGAGACCTGACAAGGCCTTCGAAATCTGACACATGGAGACAGGTGGACGCAGAGGCGGGTCGGAGGGTTTTGGGCTCCACCCAACTTCCAAAATCAAAATGGTTACACCCAGCACCACGGATTCCGGCTGTCCATTAATAGCCCCTTAGAGGTCAAGGGGTGTCCATTAACCACCCCTTCAGGTACAGGACTCCCTGAAATAGTCATGGTTACGTGCATGGAAAACGGCCCCGATTTCGGATGACCATGACTGGCGAAGACCCAGCAGGTGCTGCCATCCACTTCGTTGTTTTTTCCAGGAAGTGTATGGCTCCAACATTAAGGCACCCTCCAAAAACTCACTAACACGCTGGAAGCGCCGTGGAGTTCAACCGTCAACATTCTTTGGATCCTATACTGGTTCGTCGGAAATCCATGAGTCCGAAATCCATGGACCATGGAACTGTTGAGAAGAGCCTCTCCGATTTAGCCAGGTGTTTGATCGAAGTGCAGCATGGCCTGTTTTCGATCAGCAGCCCCCGGGCTGAGGCCAGCCTAGCACCGGAGTGCTGATCCGGTGCCTTGGGGTATGACCACACCGTGGTGGGGGTGGCAGGTATCATATCCAATTCAACGCTTCAACCTGCGAGAGATATAGAGATAGTCTCAAAGGTTCGATTTCCCTGTCTAAACAATGAACCTGCATCTAAAAATAATCTTAAGATCATATTGTAAGGAATTTGTGCCATCTACTCCAGTCGTACCTGACCTGAAAAGGTACGACTGGATCCCTATAGGAAGTGTGGTCCATGCCACCCGAAGGACCCCACACCCTTCGCGGGCGCTGTTTTTGGCGCCGCCTCCTCCACACGCAGCCAACGGCCAACGGGAGAATCCGCTGCTCGCAGCACGCGGGGTGGCTGGGGCGCCAAAGGCGCGACCAGCATGGCAGGTGCGGAGCTGGGCTCCTAGGGGTGCCGTGCGGCAAGTCGCATTGGGTTTCCAGGGAGGGAAAACGAAGTCACCAACAGTGTGCCAAATCTGCATGTTTGGTGCTTTGCTATTCCGGGTTGATCGCTAGGAACAGTGTCATGTTTGGTGGAAAACCTGGCAGAATATTCTGGAGAAAAGACATATAGAACATCATACAGTAATAGAACATGATACCCCTAAACCTCCAGCCATATCCTCAGAAGAGGGTTAGACCCCCCTGGCACCCACCCCAACCACCTTCGCAGGAGGTGGACCAGGAGCCTTAAAGTATCGCATCTTTCCTTGAGTTCCGGGGATTTCCGGGGAATGTGGTCAATCGACTGCCTGGAGGGGGCTTCTCAGCCCGCTCTGAACACATCGATCGGACCCCGGAGGTCTGGAATTAACGACATTGGGGGTCATTTGGATGGAGTAAATGAAACGATTCCATCCCAAACACTCCATCCAAATGACCCCAAACACTCCATCATCCATACATCCCAAACACTGTATTAATGAAACGATTGCCCTGGAGTGTTCTGTATTAAATGAAACGATTCCATATATCCCAAGCACTCCATCCCATGGACCCTCCTGTCGGGGTGTCTTGGCTGGACTACCCCACACTACCGCACTAGGCTTCCAGACAGGGCACCCCGACAGGAGGGTCCTGGTATGGGATAATATTTACGTACATTGACCCCTCAAACCACCACCCCAATGTAGGTCATGACTTCCGAAATGTCCACGAATGTGTCGTGTCTGGGCATGCATCTGCATGAACTCGGTAGGGAAGTCCACACAAACACCAAGGGTTACAGTAACCACTGGGTACGGGGTCCACAACTGATTCATAGGAGGCCTGCAACTGCTTCATATTTCAGCACATTTCATATGGCAGGACCGGATTTCCATACATTGTGGCGCTCCGTGGGATTTCGTGGGTCCCAAGCAAGCTCAACAAGTCCTGGCTGGCCGTTGCGGGCAGTTCATAACCAACCTTCTGGTTGACAGGTCTCTGCCCCACCACTCGACTGTGCGGGGTCTGCAATGCTCCCCCCGTCTCCTGCCCCAACATCGCTTGCAAGGTCTGCGCCACATTGCTGGGCAGTAAGCCCTGAGGATACGGACCTAGCAGCACGTGAACCGTGGAAGGGCAACTGGCTGCCATTAAGGGTCTGGACCGTTGGAACACTAAAAAACCACCCTGTTACAGAGTGAGTCCCGGATTGAGTGTTCATCAACTCAGTCTACCAAATAGTTTTCCAATGTTGGGTTGAATTGGTCCCAATGGCAACCATCGTTGGAGTTCTACCTGCTTAGTAGACCGGTAGATCATCCCTTTTAACCAATTGCAAATCATCTAAGACCTGGAAACCGTTGAAGTTCGACGTCACGGGTTTCGTCGTTCGGAAAAGAGGCTGCTAAACTTTGAGAGGAAATCTGGCAGTCCAGGTCTTTGGAACCAAAGAGGATGTTCAGGATCAGCGTCAGCCGTAGGGCACACCATAGTGGGAATGGTAGTCGTTGCCGGGGAGACCGGTAGAGGGCGATTGGTTGCACGCCAGAGATGTCCGTGTATATAGGAGACCTCGTCCGTCAAGAGGATGGCGATGAGTCTGATCCAAAGTATGGGACAAAGAAGAAGTCGTGGAACCGAGTGAGGAGGTAGTCCAGGGTGTAAAGGTGGAGGAGCCGGAAACGGGGGGTAGGATGTGGGCATTGGGGGGTGGTGTCCGGGATCGTGCGCGGGCGGGCGTGGGAGTAGTGTTGGGAGGGGGGGCGGCTGGTGTTGCAGGTGTGGGGGGGATACTGGAGGAGTGGAGGAGTCGAAGGTCCGATGACGTTGTCGCCGAGATAGTAGTGCAGCATCTTCCGTGACTCCGATTTGTAGGTGTTCCTCAGGGGTGCCGAGGGCGCGCACAAAGCCGTTGGGGTTGACGCGGAAATAGCCATGAGAAGTGGGATCGCCCGCGTGTCTCCAACACGTCATCCGTGTGGCCCTGCCCACAGCGGACCTTGACCGGTGCCGCCCATAGCTCCAGCTCTTCGTTGATGTTTGAATCATATCCGCATAGAAATTCAACGCGATCTTTCTCATCATAAATTGCCATTGAAATTAACTCGAAAAGATTGATGCGATCTGCATAATCGGGAAACTTGCTCTTCGCAAACTGCAATAGCTTGTACACAGGAAGATAACAAGCGGGATCATAGACCGAAACATCTCTCACGTGTCCCCTCATCAATCCAGAAATCCCTCTACGGACGTGTTTGGGCCACGAACAATCCCACTCCCACGGAAAACCGTGATTGTCTTCGTATTCATAATAATACCTGTGTCCTGTAATGTGGTACAGAGTGTATTGCTTTGCGTTTCGTCCCAAATCTTCTTCAAGAAATGGGTCCAAAGAACTCAGGTAGCTCAAGCTACCTTTCGTGATTGGAGAAGGGGCACACCGCGCGCAATCCTGCACTGCTGGACGTTGATATGAACTCATGGATAGCGCAGCGCACTTGGAGCATGAGGAGGATAAAGTGTCAAGCAATCCAGGAGGCGGTTGGTTTGTTGGATCTCCTCGAACATCCGAGCAGTGGAAATGTGCAAGTCGCGTAAGATCTGTTGTAGATCGTCAGGGAGGCCGGCGGGGATGTCCTTTGTGTAGGGCATCTCGTGTAGTACCTTGAAGGAATGCGCTATCGAATCGAAAAGTGCTCGTCGTGAGATCAACAGGGCAATGAGGCCCAGAGGAGCCTGCTCCGGATGGATCTCAGTAGTCACGCTCAGAAAGGGTTGGTTTGATCCACTGAACAATAGGGGGAAAGAGAATTGGGGTAAAGTAAAAACCATGGGGAGAGCGGGGAAGGGTGGGTAATTTGGTGCGCGCTCTAATGTGAAGGGCAGAGTGGAGGAAACAACAACAATAATGGGAATCAAATGGACAACTTGGTTAGTGCCGGACATGAAACGGACTTTTCTCGGGGAAGAGAGATCGATGGTGGCAGAAAATGTAAATCTCCATCATAGGAGATCAAAGCGCTGCTCCAAGGTAATGTACAGCGAGGACACAAGCCGCTATGAATCATGCAGGGGGAAAGAGATCGTCTCTCTCCAGACCATATGTCCGAAGTTCACGAATGTTGATGAAAAGCCCTGCGTATTGAATTTGACTCACCGCAGTGCGGCACTTAAAATGGCCATCCGTTTTATTCCTCGCAACATCAAAGAAGTGGCTAGCCAATGATGAGTCACCGGGCACCCCTCCTGCCTTGAACACAAAATGTTGAGGTCCTCTGCAGAAGCATTCGTCAGCCACGAAGTATTGATCCACGACCGCCGCTCCACTCCCCACGCCACTCCCCACGCCACTCCCCACGCCACTCCCCACCCCACCCCACCCCACTCCACTCCACTCCACCTCACCTCACCGCACTGCACCTCACCCCTCACTCACCTCACTCACCCCACTCACTCACCCCACCTCACCTCACCTCACCTCACCTCACCTCACCCACGCACTCACTCACTCACGCACTCACTCACTCACTCACCACCACCGCCACCACGATCCCCACCTTCATCACCACCATCACCTCTCTGGACCGCAATGCGTCTAGATCTCTGGACTTTCTGCTTTAAGACTGTATTTGATCATGTAATTCTACTTTGATTCTGATTTTTGTTGGTTTGTCCATTGTTTTGACAAGCTGCTTTGCATTTGCTAATGCTTGCATCTCACCCCCCCTCACCCCAAAAAGAACAACAAGCGTTTCAGACTAAGCTTCACCAGTCCACCCCCCTTCTGAGCATGCGGACTTCGGGAGGGCCGCGAAGGTGTCGGCTCCACCTGCGCGGCGCAGGTGTGGAGAACATGTGGCTCGGTCCGTACAGGTCCAAGACCTCGACTGGGCCCGGGGAAGGCCGCAAACACACGGACCATGAGGTTTTCAGGACGTTTTACTTGGTCCTTGGACTGGGGAGGGGAGGGCCTTTCTGGTTCAACACGCGCAAAAAGGAGCCTTGAACTCGATCCAAATCCTTTCCCGGTCGAACTCTTCAGTGAAAAAAAATGCATTGTTGCAAAATTGAACATGAGGAGCTCCACAACCCCCTGAAAAAATAAAGTTGCACCAACCTGACAACCTCTTGGTTGCGGGTCTCCCCATCAAACATGTAAAACTCAATGGAAGCATTGAGAAAAGTCCTGGCACCTTGAGTTGCAACATGTTGTAACCAGCTGAGGAAAGGAGAAAAGCATGGAGGTCCGGCTATGTCCAATTTTTGCTGACCACCTGCTTTATCTACTTTCTGATTGGGAGAACTTCACTGGAATGACTGACTAACTCTATGATTGGGCTGCCAAGCAGTGCCTTTCAGCCAGCAAATCTGCTCATTGGATCTAGACATTTAGAGCTTGGAGCCAAGGCAATGCACAACTGTGGTGTCTCCATGTGAGCATCTCCTATCCCAAACACATTCTATGCCGATTCACTTGGGGTGGTTGAAAAGGGGGTCCATCTAGCCGTATATTCCAGTTGGGTCGGGGGGAGGAAACGCCTTGGGTCACTGGAAAAAAGGTCCCTCGGTGGAACGAGCCAGGGCTAGGTGACCCAATGGTTTTTGTTTGATGTTTTTTTTGTTTTATATTGCCACCATAGCTATTCAACACCAGTCCCAACCAAGATAAAGAGCCTATGGGAGACCACAAAAACGCGATAGCAATGCTGCAGGTCATGGGTTAGCTCTTTTTATTTTATATAATGTTCACAGCTTTTACTCCACATTTTATTGTAAGATCTAACATGCAGGGCTATCCTTACTGCCACCTTCTCAAGTGCCGATTAATTCTTTTGTCCAGGCGAGACACGAAAATGGAAGCTCCTGGCCCATCTCCTCAGGTGACCGGTGGTTAGACCCCCCTGGTACAAACCCCAACCATCTTTGACACGGAGGCCAGGAGTTCTAGGGTATGATCCTTGTTTTCGCGCTGGGTGACCTATGTTTCTTTCCTGTCCCGACCTGAAACCTCAGAAACTCAGCCTGCAAAGCATCACCTGCGGTCATGTGTTGGTCAGCTACACTCCGGGGATGACCCACATGGAACGTCGTGGATGGCAGCTGTTTGGCGATTGAAACTGGTCAATCCGAGTCTAAGGGGTGTAACAGCCACACCTAAAGCCACCGTGACACCGCTCCTAGCCACACATGCCTCCTCAAACGAACAATCCAGCAACCAGCAGCATATCTCATCAAGAAAACAACCGCGACCATGTCGACAAAGGAATCACTCATGCCTCCAAGCATGACCACCAGTTTGTAGTGATCAAATGAAGGGTTCTTCATAGCTTACTAAACCCCTCTAGTGATCAAATACGTGTCTTATATATAACTGACCCTGCCCAAAGCCAAGCACCCCGCTGCCTTCGTTGCGCAAACATCGTAAACACATCTTTCCTATAGCAGGAGTTGGGAAACCTGTAGCTCCGAGCAAAATACCGCACACCCAAAACCGGCTCGTCCCAACTTTCGCCTCAAAGTCTTCCGGCGACAAACCACCCAAAGTGGCCCTGTCCTTGGGAAACATCGGTTGAAGTCGACTGCCCAGTCGTGGTCGGTCATGGAACCGAGGCATCCGCAGCATGCACCTGACACCTGAAACCGAATGCTCCAGCCAAATGCACTGGACCTGGACTCGTAGGGACATGTCCCAGTGCAGGATTCAACAGCTTCAAGGTTCATGACTGGGGCGATCACAGACTATGTGTCAAAGGAGGAAAAAAAGTGAGAAAATCATGATCCTGTGTCAAATGGAAGGAAACTACCAGGACCCTCCAAGGGATGCCCTGTCTGGAAGCCTATAGGTAGTGTGGGGTAGTCCAGCCAGGACACCCCGACAGGAGGGTCCAGGTATAGGGTGGGTCACTTCGACATAATTCGACCTTCAGATGGAACGGATTTCTTGAACCCAAACTCTTGAAACCACGGAACCACTCCACCCCCGTGATAATCTGCTACATATAACAGCACGTGTTAATCTGCTGTGGACCTTCTCTGGGCCGGATCTTGAACACCACATGCTGCATTTCTAGGGGCTTCTTACCTCCTTGCTAGCTGCTAGCTCGTTGCTAGCTGTGGTGTCGGAGCGCCTTTCTTTAGGGCCCGTCCGAATCCCTGGCCTCACCCCCCGTCGCAGGCGCCGAGCTAAGCCGCTGTGAGGCTTTGGGAGGCGAAGCTGAGGCCGGCGAAGGCTTCCTCAGGACCCGCCGAAGACCGCGGAAGACATCTGTTCGGGATTGGCGGTCACGGATACGGAACCAGTCAAAAGAGGTCAAAGCATCTCTCCCGGATTTGGAGATTCCAACTGGTTCCGCCCAGGGAAAGACATATCACTGGAAGGACGGCAAGCGCTCAGGTTCTCACTTGCCTGTTGTTGGATCTTCAGGGTCCTCTGGGTTTACCCTTTTCGAGTCTGAACCAGGTCTTAGAGTCTACCAGGTCGGGCATAGCTGAGGAAACGATCTGCTTCTGGTTTCTATCCCATGAGCCCAAGGTATCTATCAAATGATCTTGGGATGCCAATGGGGTACCACGAACGATGGAACAACATCGACTTGGCGACTTAGGGGTCCGACCTCACCGGGAAAGCCCAAATGCCTCGCCAATCTTGGGGGGCTCACTGAACCCCCAAGAAAAACACTGACTGGTGCGACTCGTAGAGAATGAGGGAAGAATGAGCCCCCATGTATGGACTCCTTTGGATCCAGCCACCCTCATTCCCTACGAGTCGCACCAGTCAGCATGTGAGCTCTTGGCTAATGACCTCCCCTTTGGATTTGTAGTCACCTCTTCTACCGCCCTCGCCTTCGAGATCCGCCATGGATCCATCTTCCAGTAAAAAGGTCACGAAACGCCGTTGTGAACACTCTGGCATCACCAGCAGCAAAATGAATCATGTGAGAACAGAGAGAAACACCACAAACAATCCAAGGGGGGGGGAACTCCCACGTCACCAACTGCTTTTAGAGCAGCCATTGACAAGGAGTTCACTGAAGCCGGCCAATTCGTCCAAAATCTGACACACGATAGCACCAATGATGGCACCGGCCAGGCCTTCAGTTCCTAACCTGTGCTGATCTGTGTGCCCCGGATAGACGCCATGATTGGAGATCTTATTCAAGAAGACCAACACACGGCGCAAGCAAAACGTGAGGTCTAAAGTCGAATCACCAGCAGAGCAGGAACGAAGTACATCTCCACGCGCCCCCCAAAAATGCAAATTCGACAAAGGCAGTGCACACCATCAGTATGTACTTTCCACTGCAGGGGTGGTGGGTGAACTCACTTCTGGGCCAGCCACCTTTGGATCCCAGCGACGTAATCCTGTAAGCTGCGCTGACCGCTGACCAGTGACCCACCTGGCACGGCGCGAATTCGATCCGCTGGCGGCACGGGTCTGGGGGTCGATGTAGATGGAGCCTGACTGGTGCGACTCGGGAATGAGGGTGGCTGGATCCAGTCAGGAGTCCAGTCTCATGGGGGCGAAACTTCTTCCCTCATTCTCGAGTCGCACCAGTCAGGAGCGTTTGGGTTAGAATATAGGAGGATCCAGGATTTCCAGATTGACCCCTTGGACCACGGTGCATTACAGCCTCAAAACCAGGCCCAGGCTTGGAGGCTAGCTCTTGAATGGCTCGCATTGTGTGCAACACCTGGGCTGCCTGGGAAGAAGGGGCTGTGTTCAAGGTGCACCCAGCCCCTCCCCCAAAGCATCCCAAACACGTACCATGCAGGTCTTGAAGCAACCTCTGACTCCCTCAGTTTCCCTGGGAAAAAATATCTAAACTTTCCACTTGTTCGTCTTGTTCAGTGGGGAAACCAATCCCCAAGCAAATTGGGTATAAAAGTGTTCAAAGGTTATCCACTTTTCCTGGGTAGGACCTGGTCCACCTGCCCTTGCCACTCGTACAGCGAACCGCCATCAGAGAACCACTCGCCCAACTCCCAGGTCCCGAATCGAATGCTACCATGTGGCCATGCACAAGAAAAAAATGCCGTCGGGGTCACAGAGCTCGGGGTGGTGTGGCTCGTCCCATCCAGTGAGTGGAGTAGCTGGGCACCCCTCACCTTCATGGATAGCACCCCTTTGAAACTCTTGGTGCTGGTTCCTTTCTGGGTTCTCCCAACAAACCGGGTTACGTTCCTAACGCAATGCAGAAAGTGGTGTCTCATCAACTTGGCTTTTGCAAGACCAAACGACTGAACACAAATACTTAGTACCACAGGTTGACACATTAATGCAATCAACAAAATGAACTTGCAACAAATGCACTGGATTATATAGGAAATTCACTCTACCTCCTCGACTTAAAGGAAAGGCCACAGCTGTAAGCCCTAGGCTTCCAAGCACCATTGATTTCATGGCTTTTCGCCATGGCATCAAGGACCACTTTAGACTCCAAGACCAGGTCAACCAAACACTGTGTGGCCGAACGGAAGGCAAGGGTTTAGGGTTTGTAGGTTTTGATCCCTTCAATAAACACAGGACTGTGAAAGCAGCCACCAAACCAATGGAACGCCGGTCATGTGGGGGGTCCTCCGTGCACCTTGTAGTTGCTGCCGCACTCGGTCCATGGACGCTCTCTGCCGGCTCTGCCGCTCCTGGCAGCTGCATGGTGGCCCATTTGGGTGTTTGTTTGGGGTGGTTTTGGTTTGGAGAGCCTAAATATGCCCAAAGACCTTAAGAGGAAGTAGGAATGGACCGCCACACTTGTGTGGCTATGTGCGGTTTGACCATTAAGAATGTTGGAACAATGTTTCCGCAAGTGGATCTGCTGGAGGCTCTGCCTGTGCCACAGGTCAGCAGCATAAAAAGAACGTGAGCGGTGCGGTACAATCCTGGATTGATTAGCCGCTGATTAGCCAATCCTTTGACATCCATCAAGGGCGTCATCACCTTGCCTGCCACCGTTGTCAATACTGGTGACTCAAAACATTGCGAAACAGTCCACGCAACATGTATGGACTATATTGGACACGGCCTGCGCCCGACCCTTGAGGTGGGTCTTGAACTCCCCCTTGCCTCCGACCTACAAAAAGCACCCCCAAAGAAAGCTCCACTCTTGGCAAGTGCTTCCATTCTCCTCGGATTCCAACCACCATTGATTAGAAACATGTATAGTATAGATTCAAATGGCATGTTCCCAAGCAAACATTGTTTTACGAAGAAATCTCGTGTGCAAAATCAGGTCACCCCGTCTGTTCATTGTTTTTGACGGTTAGGGATGCTATTTGCATGGCAGTTCCTGAAAAGTATGCAGTTGGCGGGGGAACCTGCTTTCCTTCAACAATCGGCACACCCGTCTTGGAACCCACATACGGTATATACATGTAGATACCCTGCAAGTCCAAGGACCCAGCAAGACCTGTTCTTCTACCTCTTTGAGGAATGTGCTTTTAATGACCAACTCCACTAAAATGAGGTCTAAATGATTTGTATAGGCGCACGTGTTCTGCCCAGTGTTCCAGCTTCGTCAAGCCTCGAATCCATCGAAGGACCGCGAAACATCAGGGGGTTAACCTCAACCAAAAAACTGCCTTTCCTCCCGGAAATTGCCCTGTAAAAAACATCTCTGTCTGTCAGGGTGGACCAATAAATTTATACCGTAAGACATACACTTAGAACATATTTTGGAAAAACAAATATGATGTTCTAATTAGTATAAGTCTGCGAGCATTTAAAGAAAGCTTAAAGAAAAAAAACACGGCCCCTGCAGGTCATCCACGGCTCATTCCATTCAGGTCACTGTTCCTACCTGGTTCTATGTGCGATCTCCTCCGAGTGATGCTCTCGAAAGTGGGGCCGGTGCGTCCGCGTCCAAAGGTGGAATCCAATGACCTCGTGCGCGCCGCGCGCACCGCGCGTGCCGGGAGGGTCGGTGGACGGTGGGGTCTGAGGGTGGTGCCCGTGGAGGTGGAGGTCCTGGACCCAAAAGGCCCGCATCTGCCAAGTATGATCGTTTGGGGTGAAGAACCCTGGGCGAAAGACTAGGACAGGTTTGATGATCCCTATTTCGTTGTCAGGAGTGAGCTCAAACATGCTAAACCAAGGAACCCCATGTCATTTGACCCTGGGAAGCTTTCAAGAGAATTTACACAGCAGTTATATATATATATACAGGACCTTACAAGCATAGAGAACATCAACTCTTGCAATACCAACATATATCATGTTATATCCTCAGGTGGTTAGACCCCCTGGCACCCACCCCCCGATCTTCTCAGGCTCTTGGAACCCTAGGGAGTGTTGCTTTTCCTTTAGGCCTTGTCACTGATCCAACTGTCCCGACTCGGTGCCTGGGTCGGCGCATAGAAATCCCAGCCCGCTGTCCAAAGCCGAACGGCCATGCTGGACTCCTCGCCCGGTCTCGCGGTCCGAACCGGTCCGTGAGCAGGAACTCGGATCGACGAAGATGACGTTGCTCGAGAAAAGCGGCTTGTTTTCCAATCCACAAAAGGGTTGGAAGCCGGCTCTGCCTGGTTCCGCAAAGATTTGACAAAATATGACCAAATGGCTCTCTGGAGATGGTGTTCCTGGAATTTTCCAACCCTGGCATCTACATGGGATTCAACACTTGAAATTCGCAGCAAATCTTAGGACTCTTACAAGGCCTAAGGAATAAGAAACCATCCGGCCACTCTGGGAACGTGCATCCACCGCCCCAGGACACCAGGACAATTTCTCGGAACGGACCCAACATCCGACGCAGAAGAAGAAGAAGAACGGCTCCTCCCCGAAGAAGAGATCCTCCAACTGGATGTCCTGAGATGGTCCAAGGTAGAGAACGGCTGAACGGCATGGCAAGCCGCGCTGCGTGCTTGAAGCAGCTTTGCTGAATCGGGACCATATCCACCCAAAAGGTAATCACCCATAGGGCCATAGGGAAACTATGGGAAACTAACCCCCCCCCGAGAACAAACACAACATCCCTTTCAAGATGTTTAGGAAACTGTGCCTCCAATATCAGGATTGTTTTGTTGGTCACACAGGTCCAGTTCACACCCTCCCATGCTCATGATGTATAGGATGCCATAATATGCCATAGCTTTGGAACTTTCAATCGGGGGCAAAAACATGCAACTCTCTCTCTCTCTCTCACTTGAAGCCCACGATCGTTTCACATCGTTTCTAACTAGCCAGGTCAGCTGCCCACCCCCAAACCTTGATTCAGGCCTTTCCCCCAAACCCCGTCCATCACTGTGACGTTTCGCTTTGGAAGCTTTTGGATGCTTTTGAGCTATTCTTCTGTCTGCCCGCAACAACAAATGACCAGAGCCATGAATGATGAGAAGAAGAAGCATCACTTCACAGGAATGCGCGGCGCATCTCTTCCAAAAAATGCCCAAAAGAACATGTTTGACATCTCTTGCTGTGGGGCGGCTGGCCATTCCAGGGCACCTCTAATTCACTCCCTAATATATACAAGTCAAAGACCTCATTTACTGGAGTTTGTATATTGGCTGCGAGTCAAAACCTCCCCCACCAAACCATGGTAGGTTGGCCTCCCCTATGGAGGAATCTGTTCATTCTTGGTGGTCAACCAGGGCGCCGGGTTTTGACCCACAGCCATATGAAAAGCACCGGACGCTCAAAGAGGTCGAAGAACCGGTTCAACCTGGGTCTTTGGACCACCGCGCCGGTCGCCGGGGGGCGTGACGCACAGCACCGAACGCCAGGACACGTAGGGCACGTCTTTCACCACTTCCCCCGAGGAGAAGGCAAAGCCAGCCGCCCAGAAGAGCCCTGCACGCGGCCGAGCACTAGGCCGACCTTGGGCTGGCGAGGTAGTATACGGGCGTGCGCGCACGCCCGCGTTTCGCGCGCGCGGTCCGCGGTATGAAGCAGTTGTCCGAAAGACTGTGGCTGGGTAGCTCGAAGAACTGCAGTGGTTGACAGGAATTTATGGCAAAACATGCGTCTTGTTGGGGGGTTGTTGTTGTTTGTATATGTTTGTATATTGTTCGTTCGTTCTGCTCTTTCAAAAATGACCTTGCAGCAGAGGGTGTGAAAAGGTTTTTAAATGGACTCCTGTTCATTGAGATCTTTTGAGGTCAGGTTCAGGCTGCTTGCCATGATCCAATTCCCAAACTTGTTCCTGCCTGAACTTAACCATTGATCAAAGCATTCTTCTCCAAGTCACACACTATATAGATTGATCAACTGTCAAAACAAAGCCACTGAAATCAGGCTTTGGATGCGTCAGAACTACAGCACAACACATTGACATCTGTTCCAACGCACCAAGCGCACAGGTTACATGTGCAAAATCGGCTGATTGCCTACTATAAAAGCACCTCAACATGTCCATACACACTTAGAAGCCTGGCTCATTGCCAATAAAATGATACTAGTACAAACAATGGAAGACTTACCAACAAACATCCAAACAGTTTTCCAAACATGCTTTCCAACCGCAGATCAGCTGCACTTGTTGGTGCTTCAGTTTGCCTTTGTTCCCCCACAAGGGAGCACATGACAGAATTCCCTGCTCAGTTCTTCGTCCCCAAAGACGTCACTTGTTTCCATCCAAAGACGGGCGCGTCCACGGCTCTACCGCTGCGCGCCCGCCGGAGGCAGACTGGTCTTGGTGAACACGACAGCTAAGCTTTCCAAGTCGAACTGCAACAGCGACTCGACAAGTCGACTTGCTGAGCTTGCATGAGCTTGCTATACCCAGACACGACCCGGACCTGGGACTGCCATATATTATGCCGAGAAACAGCCAGACCCCCCTGGCACCACCCCTGGCCGTTTCTCAGCAGTCCGGCAGTCCCAGGTCCGGGTCGTGTCTGGGATATGTTTGCTGAGTTGACTTCGCAGATTCGGTCCCAAGCACCACGATTTCTGGGACTGGCACAGCACGACCGAGAAACGGCCGTTCGGGGTGGTTGAAGACCAGGGGTCAGGGGTCATCCACATCTGCCAGGTCCCATCGCTCGTTTGATTTGGTTCGTCACACCGGATCAGTGCCTTCCCAGGTGCATCGTTTTCCCGTGATCCGGAGGAAGCCGTCCGCACCGAACCTCAGCCGGAGCGATCTAAAAGGCGCTGAAGACTCTGGCGGAATCCTCCAGACCTCCGCGACCTCCGCGTCCGCCTCAGGGGTCTTAATTCGGTCAGCCGGGCAGCTAGGGTGAAGCATTGACTGGTTCATGGGTTATCGACTCTACCAGTCGGCTAATGTAGACTCTTGATGATTCAAACCATTAAACAATTGTTCAATTCATGAAAGGTGGTGAACCCACCAAGAGTCTACATCACTCGACTCCACCCCTGGAGACTCTTCCACTTGTTGGACTCGCCACCTTCCGGAACGCTGTGAATTCACCCGCCTCCGCCGCCCCTTCCGACCGACCGACCGACCAGCCCCCGGACCAGTCGCCACCTGCACCAGCACAACCCACCGAGCGGCTCCCGGGCGCACAGGACGATGGGCCCCTTGGCCTCGCCCAAGGTCGCCTGGTCCGGTCCGCCAGGCGCATAGTCCTCGCGTGGGCGGCGAAAGACGGCGAGGCTGCCGGGTGGACCCGGGGGGTACCGGGGTGGACGTGACCCGGGCGACCCCGGAAACGGCGGAGGGAGAAAAAAAACAACGCCTTCCGCCCGGAAGATCCGTCAAGCTTTCACGAATTCAAAGGGCCCTCAGCAAATTCCGAGGAGAATACTGGACATTACTGGACCAATATGGCTAGACATGAGCTGCGATTGCAATGGGTCAGAGTGCCTGCTCCATGAATTTCATGTTTGATGGGACAGATTGCAATGGAACAGAAGGCAGTCACAAGCCCAAAACCAAACCCCAACCACAGAACCTCAGGGAGGTGATTTGAAACCTAGGGAATAACGACCCCCTTGCCCAACACTCTTGCAATCACTCTTGTGGGAGCATCTCAACCAACAACTCTTCGAAGTCGGAGATCATGCCAACAGAGGTTGAAGAACCCTGGCTATCCCAGTTGGGTACCCCATTGAGGTCCTATTTACGGTCACGTTCCACCTCTTGGTCTGAACCCAAAGACGAATAAAACAACACTTCTTCGATCGTCCGCATTCTGCCCAAACCTTTGCGGGTCGTCCTCGGGCAGGGTGTAGCTCGATGGGTATGTGCCTCAGCAACAACTCGCCGGTTCGCCGGCCGCGTCCGAACGACGAACTGTACTGGAGCGTACCGAAAACATGTAGCTGATCCCCCACCAAACCAGCCTGCCTGACACTATATATACATATGAACATGGTCCGTCAAATGGCATTACTCTTGGGGTTGCACCCCAAGATGTTTGACCTTCAAATCCAACACTTGGTTGGTACGGTGTTAATGCAACAAATCCAGGGATAAGCTGTTTCTGCTCAAGCCCAAACAGCTGGAACAAAAAACAGGGTGTTCACCTGAACAGATCGCCGGCTGGAGAACTCAACGGCTGCCAGGCGTTCCATCAGGAATGACAAGTTTTCAAAGTGGGTCCCTAGATCGTGATTCTGCAAAGATTCTACTGGGCGAATTGATGAAGTCCTTGGGTTGGGGCGGGTTGGGGGCAGTGAGCCCTGCTTTGGCGATGTAAAATGTTTAGGCCAAGTTTAGGCAGTAAAACACCTTCTCAAGAGGTTTACTGTATAGACCAACCAAACCTACCCCAGTCCCATCCTCTCAAGCGCTGTTTGGAGGCCCCAAATAGGGAACTGCCAAGGAATGAGGACCACTTCCAGCAGGCAACACAATGTCTCCATTCAGGATCTACAGTTTCGTAGCTTCTGGCTGATCTAGATTTAACAAAACAACGACGAAACACTAGGCGCCGGGAACATCGGGAGTTGAACCGGAAGATCCACTGTACAGCCCGCCCACGCCCCTAAACATTCCCTAGGGCTCCAAGTAGCTTCTGAGAAGGTGGGACTGGGGTGGGTGCCAGCAGGGTCCAAATACCTTCTGAGGAGGTACGACTGGAGCCCTAGGGGTTGGAAATGGCAAAGCGACACGCCCCTTATCAGCCCTTATCATCTCTTTATGATCGTTGGCAACTACCGCGGTTGTCGTCAACGATGCGCAACACAGTCACGCAGCCAATCGCGCGGGTGGCTCCTGCACGCACCCAGTCCGCGTGTTCCGCGTGTTCTGCGTGGCAACGTCTACCGTTTGAGATGGAAACACAAGGCCTCAACGCATCACCCAAAAAGCCGCCCTCATTGGAGAGACCTTTTGCTGAAGCGAACCTCTTTCTTTGGCATCTGTTTGCCCCAAACCCCATGGAAAACACATAAAAACCCTGAAGGCCTCATCTGAGGCGCTCAGGATGGGCTTGGGGCTTGAGCACATCTCCAGTTGCTTCAACAGCTCCAGGTCCCAGTCTGGGATGAGGCCTTGGGACCCCAGCACTTTTGAAGTCGGCTGGACCGGGAATTGGAATCAAGGAAAGACACGTCCGGGAATGTCCGGGAAACTGGGTCTGCTGTGCGTTTTCTGGGTCAAAGGGTTGTTTCGTCCACCTTGGCAAGAAATAACCCCAGAAGGATTCGAATTGAATGGATCGAATCCAGCTCCTTTTGCACAGGAATGTGCACTACAATGCCATGGAAGGGCTGCCCGGGAGAACTCGATCTGTGACACGCAACGGGCGTCCTCTGATAGCCTGGTTACGGAAGCCTGATGTTCTCCGCTCTTGGCAGTGGAGGAGGTGTCTATTTTCAACGACCACATTGAAAAGTTTCAAGGGGGATAGTCCACTGGATTGTCCATGGTTTCGATTGAAAACCCGTGACACTTGTTCTGGCATCAAAACTGGTATGTGTTCTGACACATGTCATGAAGGCTGGGACATGTTTGGACTGTGTTCTGACGTCCTTGCTGGCATGTGTTCTGACATGTTAGTCCTGCCATGAAGTCTAACATGTGTTCTGACACATCTTCTGGCATGTACTTCTGACACGTGCTCCCGCACCAACCTGGAATGTGGTTTGACCTGTTTTGTGACACATGGACCAACTTCGGTTCTGATGTGGAGGTGCTCTGCCATGTTTTCCAACATTTATGTTCTGCAAGCAAGCCTGCCACTTTTTCCGGCATTACGCTCTAACATGATTGGCATATCTTCTGGCATCCTTCTGTCGTTCTATCTGGCATATCTTCTGGCATTCTAATGTTGACACAATGTTGATCTCTGATTAATAGATGCACCATATATAGAATAATGTATTTTTCCTGTGCAAATTAAACAAGGCCCAAAAAATAATGTCTAGAGATTTGAGGCTCAAAACATATTTGGGTTGCAGCTTTAACACTTATCTTTATTCCCGTGCTTTTCAAGCTGATTTGCTGTACGTACCTTCTATCCCTATACTTTTCCTAAGCTTTTGAATCTTTAAACTTTCCAAAAATTTCTAGCATTGACAACAAATAGATTCACGCAAAGGGGGGAGTCCAGCAAGCCGCTTTCTGACATTATTTTTTGGGCCCCTAGAATCATGTCCAGAGACTTAATGACTTGAGGCTTAAAAATTATTGGGGTACAGCTTTAGAAGAACTTAGTGTTATTCCTCTTTTCCAATTGATTTGCTGTACGTACCTTCTATTCTTATACTTGTCCTAAGCTCTTGAATATTTATTTAAGCTTTCCCAAAGCTTCCAAACGTCTGTGCGATGTCTTCAATCTGAGGTTTCATTGACTCCTTTTCATTGTAATATTCCAGATGTCTTCAAAGTTAAAGTTAGGTGTCTTTATTGCTTGCAAGTTTTGTATTGCCAAAGATGGCTAAGTAATAATTCTAATTGTGTTTTTATCAATTGATTACTCCTCTGGTAGTATATTATCTTAGAGGCTTTGGTTGTTGAGGCGGGAGGGAGATTAAATAATCAAGAGTCAACATTATTTGCACATCTTGTGACATCGTTTCTGCCATTTGAACTGGCATATCTTCTGGCGTTCTAACTGGCAGAAATGTGCAGGTGCCTGGGCTCCCAGACAGAGCGCCAGCGCTCGCATAGACTGGGTCCGTAAAGGCAACCGAGGAAGAACCCGTCTTCTACAACGCTAACTAACGTGATGTGTCTTCACTCTGGACTCACACACCTCAAAACATCTTCAAAGCTGTGCAAGGGAAAACAGCGCAACAACCAGACACTCCATATATGCCATATGAACCCACGTTGGGGTCGTTGAAAAGGGGTTGAAGGATGTTGAAGGCAGCCTTCCCATCCCGTCTTCGAGTGAAAAATCGAAGAATCCATGTGTCTCTCCAGTCCGGTCCGGTGCAACAAGAGACGGTAGTGGCTGTCCAACTGCAGGTAGTAGTCTTCAGCCTGACCGAACGATCATGAGAACAGTTCTTCGGTCCCGCTGACCGAACCATTCGACCCTCGCAGTGGGTCATGTTGTTTCACCCTGGAGCCCTGGTGCATCTGGCATTCAATGCTTTTGAAGGACACTGCACACCAAGTGCCCCTTCAGGCACTGTTCGCGTTGCAATCCACAAGGGCAAGCACTTCTAAGAAGCAATAAACAGTGAGAAACTACGCACCTTGAGCAGCAGCAGCAGCAACAACAACAACAGCACCAGCACCAGCACCAGCAACAGCAAGAGCAGCAGCAAAAGCAGTGCAAGAGAAGCGGCAAGAACATCCCTAATCTCCAAAAAAGGTTGGGCAGGTCACACAATGGACCAACCCGCAGGTAACACAGGTCACCCTAGCAGTTTTTGTAACCTATCTACCTATCTAGCAGGTCCTCCAATGTCATACACAAAACTCGCAGGTAACGGTTGGTCTTTTGGCTGGTCTTGCGCCGCTCCCAACAATCGACATGCCTACGTCGTGTCAACCCACCCAGTGGACCGTTAAGCAATGAGTACCATCCATCAACTTGCACGTTTTTCATGAGGGGGCATGACCAGGCTGATGAGCAATTTCCTGGATCTGATCAGCATGACCAGCTAGAACAGCAAGACCAGCAGGAACAGCAACAGCAGTAGCAGCAAGCAGCAAGCAGCAAGAACAGCAGCAGGAGAGGAGGAGGAGGAGCAGCAGCAGCAAGAGCAGCAGGTTGAACAGCAAGAGCACCAGTAAGAGCAGCAGCTTGCAGCAAGCAGCAGCAGCAGCAGCGGCAAGAGCAGCAGTAAGAGCAACAGCAAGAGCACTAGTCAGTCACAGCAGCAGGATCAGCAGGAAGAGCAGTAGCAGCAGCAGCCGGAGGACAAGAAGGAGGCGGAGCAGCACCAGAGCAGCAAGTTGAACAGCAAAAGCACCAGCAGGAGCAGCAGCAAAAGAGCAAGAACAAAACCAGCAAGTGCAAAAGCATGCAAAAGCAGGAAAACAAAAGCAGGAGCAGCAGCTAAGAGGTGCAGCAACAATAACAGCAAGAGCAAGGGAAGAGGAAGAGAAAGGACAGCAAAACAACCAATAGCAGCAAGACCAACAACAGCAAGAGCAGCAGCGGGGTCCGAAGCCTCGACGGACGCTAGATTGAGGCGCATCGGACAGGGTCTGGGCCTGGTAGAGCTCTTGCTGAATTCGTGCGCGGGCATAGCAGGGCCCTCGGGCATCCCTGGGCATCAGCCACAGGACCCGCACGTTTGAACGCAAATGGCCTTGGTGCGATGAAACGACCTTCCCCATGCCACGGATTCGCCCATAGAAGAAAATAGAACATCTCCCTAAGCAAAACCAACAGTATCAGTATGGCTTCCAGCATCTCACTTTGACCCTTTCTGGCAATGCAGTGACTTCAAATGCAAACCAGTCGACCGCACGTGTGAGAGGTATGTGTGAGGTTTTTGAGGATCAGGAACAACTCATACCTTTTTCATGGGAACGCAAAATCACCTGGCAATAGGCTGTGGAAAATGTCGCAAAGCTCTCCCAATGCTCTCTCTCTCTCTCTCTGCCGAGTCTAGCTGTCTCACAGCTGCTTTACAAGGACCCTCTGACAGAATAAATAGCTGCACTGCCCTATTTGGAAACCATTTGCATGGCAAGCGGTTGTTTCATGTTGTCTCGTCTTGACCCCACCTGTTTTGGATTGTCCCCAACACTTCGAGATTCGTCTCGAATAGTATCAAATGATCAGCTGCTTGGTGTTTTCAACCAAATTGAAAAATATTAGTCAGAGGGTCCAATCATCCCCAAGTAAGGGTTGAACATAAAAATATCCGAAACCATCACCTAGTCAGTGAAATTAGTCAAAAGTCCAAAGGGTCACTTCTACGAGGTCAGCCGGATCGATTCTTAACCAGCACCCCGGTCGACGCCCGATCTACGACGGAACACGCCGTTGAACCAAGAAACCCAATTTTTCAGAACGCCCTGGCAACACGACCCCCGAGCCGGAGAGATTTCAAAAAGAAGGTGAACCGCACTTTCCACGTGCTCTTGGTTGAGCAGGACTAACCAATTCCCCCAAAAACGAAAGGGACGTCCACCGGGAAGCCCGGGCCTTTGACACTGAACATGTCCCGTCCAACGCCGCTGCTTCATCGAACCAAGCAGCCCCGAGCCCCGAGGACCCCGAAGCACCCCACGCCAAGCCGCTGGGGGGCTCCAGCCAAAAGCAACATTCGTCCTCCGCCCGGTCCGCCTGGTCCCCGTGATAAAAACGACTGCGCGGTTGGACTGCGTGGGTTATGACTGAATATGGAAAGTCGTAGAGATATAGATCCATTCACAGATTTGAAGCCATTTCGTTTTGTAAATTGGGGCCGCCCCAAAGCTCTATATCACCTAAGGAGACCTGAACTGATTCTTGAAGATCCTGCTAGTCAAACAGTTCGGAACAGGATGAATTTGCCAGTGGGGGAAATTCGTTCGAGAGACCACGTCGAACCAGTGCTGCTTTGGCATGCTCAGAGTCGCCAGTTTCCCAGTTCAGTGGCTGGAGATGGTAAGAGTGGGAAAACTGGACACCCATGGGCAGCCTCCAACCACCCCCAGCGGCCCCAGCGGTGAACTCCCCCTCACCCCCTCATCATTCAGCGGTTCGACTGGTCAGTTGGTATCTGTTGAGGGGTCAGTTGGGAGGTATATGTATTTCCCAAACACGGCATAAATACTGTAGAAATGGTCACCAAATAGATAGAAATGGTGTCCAATACATGCTCAGTGGGGATTCACTTTTCTATCGATTTGGGGTCTTATGTGTGTCTACATTGACCCTTTAAACCACCCCCAATGATCCCCAATCCATACATGGAGTATATACCAGCACCCGACGGGTGGCTTCAGGACGCTTCACTTCGAAATGGAGACTACATGAGCAAACCAAAGAGGCAAGTGACCTGTGGAGTCGAGTGCTGGTATGGAGGTACGAGCGGAAGCGGTTTCTTACCCCAACACCTATTACCTACCCCACCCCAATGGCACAACGAGTTACCCCAGGGAACCAAAAGTTACCCCACACATCCAAACCCCATGGCACAGCGGTTCTTATGTCCTGTGTTTCTTCTTGCATTGTATCCTGAAACTATGTAGTTCCCTTGCGCTTTCAATGTGTGGGATTGACCATTATGAACATCTTTGACCCCAGAAGTTTGTAAGATCACCATGGCACACCTTGTTTCACCCCAGTCGAGGCGCCTTCCCAAACCACGCCGCCCTTGCAAATGGTTTTCCTATTTCTTTGGAAGTGAAACGTACCGGTGAGATCTGTTGGACACCCAGCTCTTCAGCCACATGTCTCTGGTGTGAGGCTTCATCAACACTCGTGATGAAACAATTTCATGTTGCACCAAACTTGACAATGGCTTCGCCTTGGTGCATTTTGCTTTCAACTGACCGACGTAAAACTTGACCGCCGGCATTGCGCCCTCCCGCAAGCTAGCCTTAAAATGGCCCAAGATGTAATTGCAAACATCTTCTGGGTTGTCAAGGTCAAACTCACAGCTTCTTCTGCTCTCACAGCTCCAGTTGCTACAACCATGCTTTCACACACGGCATGGTATCATGCCACAAGTGAGGGGTACCAGAGAAGAACGAGTTTGATTAATCTCTCAGGTGGCACCAAGTGTGCCTTCTGGATGAATTCTAATGAACAAACCTTCTGTTTGAAGTGCTCATTTATTCTTTGAGGCATCTTTCCTATTTGCCCACAGTAGATCCTAAGTTGGATGGAAACTACATCTAGCATCCTGCGCGCCCTTGTGTTTAAGATCTCTAGTACTGCAAGACTGTCGATCATCTTTGAGATGAGATATGTACAGTAGTTTCCTTCGACCAAGGGCACACCAACATGAGACAACTAAAGGGTGCCCGAGACAAGAAACAACCTTGACCCAGTATGCTTGGATTTGCTGAATGGAAGAAAATAAGCAAAACAACCAGCAGTCACAGTCAACGGGGTGCTATCCATGGAGGTTAGGTGTGCCCAGCTACTCCACTCACTGGATGGGACGAGCCACACCACCCCGAGCTCTGTGACTCCTGGTAGGTTTGTCTCGTAATTCCTGCCCCCTGGAGTCTTTGAGAAGTGGTTGTCGTTCCCAGCATTCACAGGTTCAGAGAAGCGCCTGCCAGCAAACCCCAATGAAGACCCTCTCCGGCACAGCTGCTTTGGCGAACAGGTCGCAAATGGTATACCTGACATGCCGCGAAGGGACAACCATACAACATGCAAGAATGCAAAGAAAACCAGCACGATTGAACACAAATGAGAATCATAATCCCTAGGGCTCCAACTACCTCCTGAGAAGATGGTTGGGGTGGGTTTGGGGGGATGTGGTTGGAGCCCTAGGGAATATAGATCGCTTCTAGTTTAGCTGGTACGCGTTGCTATGCACCATCTGCCCTGTGACGTTGACCTTGGTCTATAGTCCTGGATTCCCGTGACCCAGTGACATACAGGAATCAATGCCAGGAATCTGTTTTATTTTCTTGCACCTTGGTAAGTCGGAAATAGGTGTGTGAGTCCGTCGGAAATCAGGGCAAGTCCAGTCTCCTGTGGATGCATTCCTACATTCCAAGAGAGGTTAAGTGACCTTATAGGACCCTACTGGGGTACCTATGGGATGGTCTATAGGGTTCTTCAACCTCTGTTGGTTCCCGAGTCAGCACCTCTATTGCGTTCGCGTTTGCTGTCGCCCCACCCTTCCGGCCCCCGCCACCCTTCGCTTCGCTTCTCCCGAGGGGCTGGCACTCGGGGTCCCGATAGGAGGGGATCGACACAAAAATGCTGGGCTCCATGGCGCTGTTCGGCCAGTCATGAGCTGCAGAACTCTTGTTCAGTCAATTCCCAAACACTCCATCTACGTACAGTGGTGTCAGAGTGAAATGGCACATTGTCCCATCTACTCTCCAATCCCCTACAAAAATATGCCGACATCAAATCAATGAACCACCCGTAAATGAGTCCCAGACTCTTGACCCTAAGCTGAACCACTAGAATGTGTTTTTTCCTGATGGCTGGACTCCGAAGCATGCTGAGCAATGCTGAGCAGCCTGGTGTCTGCAAACAATGAATGCTGTTCCGAACATAGCCAGGTTTCAGTTCCACTGGCAAATGGTTTCAATATGTTCAAGACGTGCCATACTTGTTGAGAACGAAACATGCCCGAGACCCTGAGATTCCTGGTGCCAACCACTGAATCTGAGGCTTCTTACCCAGCAACCATTGTTCTTACTAAATGTTCCATTATATAACTGCAAGGCCGGGTCAACTTTGGCTTTTGGAAGGTGGCCAAAGAACTGGTTTGTTGGATTGAAGGTCATGCTGTCTCTAAAAAACCTACCCGTCGTACCCAGTCAACTCCGAGACTTTGCGGAGTGATCTCCCTACACATGGTGGTCAAAGAACAGGGAGGTCGTTGATCCTTTTCTCATCATTTATTCCCTCGAAAACATCTGAATTTCCCACATGGAACTATCATTCTCCCTCATTCTCACAGCTCCTTGGTTCTCCTGTGGTGTCTTCTTGTTGGCGTCGTTTCTATTGGTCCTCGACCTTGCAAGCCGAACGGCTTCGGTATCCGGTGAAGTTCAGGAACCCACAATGAATTCTCAGCTGAAAGTCCAGTTCAGGTATAAATCTGATATATATAATATATGTCATTGCTTGCCTAAAGAAGAGTCCGAGCCCGGGCGGATCAGCCTAACAAGTCCATGTGTCCAACACGTACAAAAATAACGGATAGTTTATGGCTTGCACCCCAATGTTGAGCCGATGGCCCTTATTAAGAAGAACCTGCTAACCCTGAATCTTGCCGCCAAACCATCTGCTCCAGAAAGACAACTCACCCAAAGCTTCCTCAGAGTTCTTCCACCAGTGGATCGCGAGATCCTAGCTCTTCTGGCCCAATCTACCTTCAAGAGCAGGGCCGGCCAGTTTGCAAAAAAAGGAGGCATGCCTATATATAAGGCCTAAAGTAGAAGGCCTAAGCCGCCGGTTCACCAGAAACGGTCCCTAGAGGTCCCGTGTTACGCCCGAGCAAACTCTAAGGACCTTTGTGGGTCTGGTGCGTCATGGCGGGTCATGCTGAAATCGGTGACTGGAGACCCCCCCACACCAGCCGTGTGGTGAACTCATACCTGGATCTTCCTACTTCCTACTCTGCCAAAGGTTTTGTTTTTTTTCATCCATCAACACCCAAAAAACCCGAACTTTGTGGCTGAGCTGGACCTTCCAGGTGAACCGGCTCTCTCTCTCTCTCTCTCGAGGTTTCATTGATCCACTGGCCAGGCAAAAGGCACGGCTGACCGGTCATCCGAGAAGACGCCATCCAAGGAACCATGAGGCCCGTTTGGGGCTCCGTTTGGGCTCCTGGCCCACCTAGAAGATGGGCCAGGGGTGGATGCTGGTTGGGGGTCTAGCCAGGAGATGGGCCGTTCGGAGGTTTAGGGGGGGTAAACTCGTGGTCGTTTCTATGGGTGCCCCAACTCTGACCTCTTCATCTTCAGTCTTTTCGGAGGACACCGGAAGAAGCCCATGGTGGGAAGTCCAAACCAGTCCATGGGAAGTCCAAGCCAGTCAGGTGCTTTGCCTGCAATTAGGGTGGTTTCAAAAGGTCTTAAGGGGTGAATATTCCTTGGGTCTACTGTATCCTATTCAACAGCGGATGATGATGGGGCCTGGTTGCAGGCCTTGTTCAAAAATAGTGATGTTCTTGTGTACTGACTGTTACAGGTAATGGGACTTGAGGCCAGAGGGGGTGAACGAAAGCTAGCCGGGCCTCCTCGTCCAAACAAGTCGGGGGCGGGCTGCACAGTCACTCTCATTGGGTAACTGCCGGTCCACTTGCAAGTCCCGTGGGAAACTCTAGAGAAGCAGTGTTAGTATGTGCTTTGTGGTGCGTCGAGTCTCATTCAGTAAGCAACTGCCACCTGACAGGAGCAGGTTTTGTTTGGTGCCCCCTTTCCATCACTTCTTTGGCTTGGTTTTTCCAGCGGTTGCTGTGCCGCAGCAGCAGCAGACCACCCAGCAGCAGCAGCAGCATACCAACCAGCGCCGCAGCAGCAGCAGCAGAGCACCACCCAGCAGCAGCAGCAGCAGCAAACCACCCAGCGCCGCAGCAGCAGCAGCAGACCACCCAGCGCCAGCAGCAGCAGCAGCAGCAGATCACCCAGCGCCAGCACCAGCAGCGGCAGCAGCAGCAGCACAGCAGACCTCCCAGTAGCAGCAGCAGCAGACTGCCCAGCAGCAGCAGCAGACCCCCCAGCAGCAGCAGCACAAGACTCAAATGACACCGCCTGACTCCACGCCGTAACTAGTCGCGGACGCGGGGTAGGGCTATGATGCAAGAAATGCCGCCTGCACATAGCACCCAAAAAGATATTACTGTCCAATGTAGCTCCTGCTGCTGCTGGGTGGTCTGCCTTGGCTGCGTCTCCTGCTGCTGCTGCGGCCGCTGCTGCTGTTGTGTTTGCTGCTGCTGCTGCTGCTGCCGCTGCTGCTGCGCTGGGCGCTGCTGCGCTGGGTGCTCTGCTAGCGCCGGGTCGTCTGCTGCTGCTGCTGCTGCTGGCGCTGGGTGGTCTGCTGCTGCTGCTGCCTCTCTGGGTCTGCTGCTTCTGCTGCTGCTGCTCCTTTGTGGTTTGCTGCAGCTGCTTGGTGGTAGACTGCAGATGCTTGGTGTGCTGCAGCTGCTTGGTGGTCCCGCTCACCGCGCGCAGGGGGGAGTCGAACCGCTGGGGGGGGGGTCCATAAGATTGATTTAATATTTGAGGTTTCTGGGGCGCGTCCACCCCGTCACTTAACTTGCTAAAGCAAGAGCAACTCCAGCTAGCTAAGGCTAGCTTTCGTGACAAACCCAAAATATTCCCATGGATTCGTGGGGGCTCCAGATCGACCACTTTGCTAATCAAAAACGCCCCAACACTCCTGATGGATTTGCTGCACTTGCTCCATATGCTACAAAAAGAAGCATGAATGACACCTCAAAATATCCCAACCATATGCCCCCCCCCATGCCCCTCTGCCTGCCAGGTAGTTGGTTTCGCACCCACCATCTGACAACCCTCCAGCCATCTCCAGCCCTCCATCTTCGCCTCTTTTTCGGCCCCTCCGAAGTATCCAGCCGATTGCACCTGCTGCGGCACGCATGTGGTGCCCTGACCCTCACCACGATCACCACGCTCCGCGCGCGAGACCTCCTCATGGTCCACGCGCGCGGAGGGCGTGGGAGAGCCTAACTTGCTTTCCACAACGATGGTCCCCCGCAGGGGCAGCGGCTTCGTTGCTGCGGTCTGTCGTTGCGAGCCCGCGCTGTCATGCGGCTCGGGGGAGACCTGTGACAGCGCAGGTAGACCGGCACCGGTTGCTATTTATGTGGGAAGTCTGTCATAAACAATCTCTCTTTCCGATGTCAACACACTCCGAGTATCCAAAGGGCCTCATTTGGCCTCATTTGGGGCCCCGGGGCAGCTGGTTTGATGGATTGGTTGGAGCGGATAGAACTCTCCTCTCGGGTCGTGACATCGAATGTGGTTGCGACGTTCACATCTGCGACGTTCACTTCCAGCAGTGTGGCTTGGGATGACGTCTACAAAAACATACAAAAACCAATTAACACCATGCGTGGAACCCACAGGTTTCGACATCCGAAGAAACATGAAGAAACCAGTTAGATTCATCCTGATTGAATCTGGGATGCAGCATCCCTCCCAGCCCAACTTGACCTCCGAAGAACCGGTCCCGCCCCACGTGCGCAGAGGTGCGCAGCGGAATCGCCTCGAGGGTGAGCTTGCATCGGTTGGTGACGCCGGCGTCCTCCAACTGGGCCTTCAATTCCGGCAGCAAGCACACGCCTGACGAGGCTTCGGGTCGAAGGACGGTGCGTGGTAGAAATGGGAAGGTTTACACGATGTGTGATGTATGATAAATGTCTTAGATGATAAACATGATGGATAAACCTTCCCATTCTTATTGGAGTTTATATCAATTTCCTCATCATTCTTCATCCATGATTTTCTTGAAGCGCCGTCCATGGTCAAGTGCAAACGGTGGATTCGAGAAGGGTCACTGGATGATCTTGAGGTGAGATAGAGAGGCCGCCGGTGGGTCCTTCAAAACATAGGCAGTTAGAATACAACATAAGCATAAACTTAGATGCAGTTATATAGAATAAAAACAAGACCAGTTTTTGAAATATCTGGACACATCCATCGCCATGTGTGTGATTTGTCGATGCACAGTCAGCATCAGTCAACCAAAGGGGAGGCGCTGCGGTACATGCCGCCCAGGACCTCAACATAAAGGTTCACCATTTCCGCTCCTGTCCACCTGTTGATGGATAGTGATATTTCCCTAGGGATCCAAGAAGATACTTGGATCCTCCGGGCACCTACATAACAGTGTCGAACACATCACCGTACCTGAGGTACGGTACGACTGGATCCCTAGGGTGTTTACATAAAGCTATATAGTTATAGGGGATCAGGATCAGGATCTGCTTGTGCTCCCTTCAGATGCACCCTGCCAACCATTTTCCACGCTGCAAACCGCCCGAACCCGACGCACCGAGCGCCGGTGTGCGAGCCGAGCCGAGCGCTGCAGGGCCAAGAGGCCAGTGGAGCAGAACATGGCAGTTTCAAAGATCCCAACTTGGAGCTGATCACATCGGTCGTCCCTGAATTGGTGGGACCATGAAAAAGTTGCCACTCCATGTACTGTTGCCACTCCATGTACTGTATATGACTCCTACATTGTGGCTTCAGCCAGGTATAGGCATATATTGGACTGGAGTGTCTCAGACTTGATTGCCCAATCTGTTCGATCTAAGCAACCACTTCCGCGGCGAGAAAGCCCGCGACCGAGCAGGTGCGATCAGGGCGAGTTGTGGCCCGTCTGACAGGCGAGGCTGGGCCACTGAGATGCCGACATCATGAATGAAACAGCTGAGACTGGCCTAAGCCTGGGTATATATCTCCATGTAATTACATCCCATCAAGTGGATGATGATGGGGCCTGCTTGCAGGCCTTGTTCTAAAATAGTGCTCTTGTTCACCGACTGTGACAGGCAACAGGACAAATCCTACCTATACATTTCTGCAAGACCCCAGTCCAACAAATCCAACAAAATAGATGTCCATTTTGAAGGTATGAATGTGCAGAATTTGGATCAAAAACAAGGCCTTCAGTAGATCGAATCTGGATTGAAATGCCGTTTTAACCGTAACTATGCTTTTCTCCAGTTTTGACTTTGATGATGCACTTCCCACCCCCCACTATCCGTGCAAAAAAGGTAACACTTATTATCCCCACACGCTCCATGTATGCCATATTTGCCTACATTGGGGTGGTTTGGGGGGCCAATGTAGGCAAAAATGGCATACCTGGAGCGTCTGGGATAGATACTATAGCTGATGTTCCATGTTCTTGTTGAGTCAGGAAAACCAGTCCGTCCTGGTTAGCCACTTTCGTCTGGGCTAGGACTTGAACAAGGGTTGAAGAACTCTATCACTACCCTTAGACTGTCCCATAGGTACCTCAGGTACGGGTCCGATTTAAGGTCACGTTCCACCTCTCTTGGCACTTTCAATGGCTGGATGCTGGATCCCTGCCCGATCCGGTTTTGGGATCTTTGCCCTACTCCGTCGCTACCCCCAGGCGTTGCGGCGCTTGGTAGCTGGAGAGCTCGGCTTCTGGCGCACTCGGTGGGACGATTTCCACATAGCGCTGCCCAGGCGAAAGCCTGAGATCAGAGTTGTCGTCCAAAAAAAAATGAGGAAAACATGTTGTCTATCCTCGTCTATCCTTTTTTCCAGGAACTGGAATGAACAGCATTAGTTGGGTGAACCCAGGTCGGGAAAAGCGATATGTGTGGCGTGAGACACAGCACTTAAAGTATTGTGTAAAAATCCGCTGCTAATAACAGCGGCTTGGTGTCCCTAAAGGAGAAACAACTGTCGTAGCTGGCAAAATGCATTGGAATTCTGCAGGCTTCAACCATGGTTGCAGTCGGCATTTGACAAATTCAGTTTCGTGGGAGGCGTAGCATAGTGGAAGAACAAACTGCAAATTTGGTGGCACTGGAGGAGGGTTAAAGTTTTGGGGAATCAAGAAAGAACGATACCACCAACAAAATGGCTGGCAGCATCAAAAACTTCAAGGGACAGGCTTGCTGCTTGAATGCCTGCAGCAGTTTGAGCGTCCTGGTTACAACCAAATACAACCAGGACATCGCATGCTCTGCGTCCGCAGGCCATGTTACCAATTCAGGATCACGTTTTGTTGCTATTGACAGCAGTTGGGGTGTTCCGTCTTGACCTTGCACCATCCACAACCACAGCAAGTGTCAGCAATATTCCGGTTCAAAAGTAATGTTTGCTAGGATGTTTCCAAACCGTGGTTTTGGATGGCAGGAGGAAGCTCTCGCGGATATCAATATGTGAGTTTCTGCAATTTTCATGCCAAAATGAACATCTAAAGGAGGAAAGAGCCTCTACAGTGGCACGACGAAGTGTTGGATGCTGCCGGAAATTATCTATGGCGCTTCATGGCCGGAAAGTAATGGCTGCAGCCGGCACGACGAAGCAGAAAAGCAACAAGAAAAAACAATCAACAAACAAATCTGAATCGATACAGTAGCAATAATAACAACTGTAAAAACATTGCCCACCTCATTAAAGTATAAACTAAAAAACATGAAATCAATGGAACAAAAACATACAACAACTGCATTGATGGGCACAACATCTTGTACTATGCGTTCTTTAAAAACAAATCAATAGAGATCCTCAATTCATATATATATATATGTAATACAAACACGATTTTTGCATTTGCATCGCCCCATCCGTTCAATCCAAGCCACAGGCATCCGCCAAAGCGTTCGGTCAGCTCGTTTCCAACCGTCCGCAAGCCATCGTCCACTGTCAAGGTCAGCTTACGCAAGCAGGAGGCGCCAAGTGCCAGAAACAGGAGGTAGTCCGCGAAAAAGCCTCACTTCTTGGGACCCTTGGAACTATCAACGAAACAAGATGCAAACAAACATGGAACACTCCACTGATCTGCTCACGCCAATATCTGTGGAGAAATGGGCCACCACGCCCAAACCAATGAATCAAACCGGTCTCCAAGCCTTCATCCGCCCATGCGGAAACACATTCCCAAAACCATGCCGGGCGCAGCGCGGCCAGCCAACCAATTGTGCAGGAGACCATTTCCACGAACTCAACGCCAGTGCGGAAGCCGAGCGCCATCAAAACACGCCGGCGAGGGAGAATCGAACTCCTACCTGTCCCCAGGTCCCATGGACTGAAGCCATGGCCTGACTCACGCCGGCTGCTTGGACTCGATCAAAAAATCATCAAACCCTGCCCTGCCAAGCCCCCAGTCGAACTTGCCAAGTGGCAAAGGTTGACTAGGCCGCCAAGCCAGCTGCGCGGGTCCCAGTAGTGCTGCATCAAGCTTTTCCTCTGGGCACACAGCGACGCGCTACAGAAAGAAACACTGGCGATCCAGATCAACAGAAACACACGAACGTCCAGGCGTCCATGCGAGGCTGGCGCGCCTACCCACTCGTGACCCAAAAGTGAGCTATGGAAAACAACCGGAAGTCGCTGCCAGGCGTCTTGAAGAGCCAGTTCCTCGGACATGCCGGGCACCGCAGGGCGGCTCCCAATTACCCAATGCTTGGTCAGATCTTTTCCGCTTGGCAGTGCGTTTTTGTGGTGCACTGTGTGTTCAACACTTGGAGTGTTTGGGATACTTTGGGTGGGTGTGCTTTGGCAGTGGCTTGCAAGCCCAGTCAGGGTCGGCAAGAAATGGCCCACCCCCTGCTCTAATCGATGCATTTGTTCGGGTCCCCCCGAAGCTTGACCCGGTTGACTAAGCCATGAAAGTGAGCCTGTAACAACATTGGAAACACCATGAAACACACACACGATTGGCCCAATCCAAGCGGCAGCAGGTAGAAGAAGCGATAGCTTCCCATCAAACAAACCCACAGCGAGACGCTCCAACAATCTCCCTCGCCCGACTCTGCATTGCGATAGGAACACACCTCAGATTTCACACGCTCTGCGGCACACGTCGTCTTGCCGAGCTTTTCCTGATTGAGGACAGAACGAGGGAAGGACATGGCGTACCAAACGCAAAAGAAAGAGTTTCGCGTGGGGAATGCATGAACCATGTTATATCGATTACGATTTGCTTGGCCCAGCCTCCCAAGAACGTGGAGTGGACGCCAGCGTACACTCAAGCGGGTTGGGCACAGATGCCGATGTTTCTCGGGTTGTGGTTGTTCAAGCCAATCGAAGCAGTCGACCGTTCGTTCCGGTCGTTCGCTGGGTCGTTCGTGTGAAGAAGCTTCGAGCTTCACCCAGCCACGGATTCACGCACCCGATCCACAAGTCTCCGGGAAATCGTCCATCCTCCGATCGCTTGGGCGATCTGGATGCTGGAAGACCAGGTCGGAGCGAATTCGGTGGATCAGATTGATTGGATCATACCTGGACCTTCAGTTCGTGACCTCTTTGGAGTCTCTGTTTGTGACCTCTTTAGGGACTAAGTGACCTCATTCTAGGATCTCAAGAGGTCACTTTGAAGGTCCTGGTAGTTAGATGATGATCAAATATGCTACGTGTTCTGGTGGATTGGCCAAGCATGTGTCTGACATGGCCACTTGTCCCGCGCCCAGGCACGTATTGTGGCACCATCGCAAAGCCCTCCAATGCCTGCGACCAGGTCCATAGGACTTCCAGTAGATCGGTGTTCGTCTCCTTAGGACTTCGCAAGCGAACAACTACCTCAAACCCACACCAACAAAGGTTGAATCACCCATACCCAGACACTCCATGGGACTGCCATATATGCCGATCAGTTGGGGTGGTGCCAGAGGGGTCAATGTAGGCATATATGGCATACAATGGAGTGTCTGGGACGGTTCCTACTTACGGTCACGTTCCACCTCTCTTGGCACTCGGTCTCTTGGTCCTCACTCGGTACTCCAAAGGAAGGTCAAACATGTTGTGTCGGCAATCCCAGTGGACTCAGTTGCCACCATAGATGGTGGTGCGTTCGAAGAACAAACACATAGACCTGCATGGTGGTTTAAACAGGTTTAAACACGTTAAATGTAGGATCCTGAGTAGGAAAAAAGGGGTTCCCTCCTTCTCTAAACAGATAGGAGGTCCCCTATTAAAAAAAAACAAACTATCACCAACAAAAATATGGGTTCCTGGGAGGATTTATTTTGTATTTGATTGTAGTACTCATTGTCTTTCTATTCATAAATTATGGTTATTCATTTCCTTTCTCAGGTTTCCTGTAGATATTCTCAGCAATCCTTTCATACTATTAAGAATGATGCTAAGAAGGTTCTCAGGTTCTCAGCAGTTTTGAACAAGAACTAGGTTAACCAAAAAAATAATCAGCAAGCCAGCAATTGGCTCAGTAACACACTTTGCACAATTGAGGAACCTGAGAGGGGCCTTTCCTGGTCTACTACCTCGAAAATTTGTTCAGGAGCAATCTTTACATAGAGGATTGATTAAGGAATTGATGGCTCTGGGAAGCTGTCAGTATGGAAGAAAAACTATAGAAACCTATATATAACTTCCAACAATACTCTCAGCAATCCAGCCATTGGTATTAAGATGTGCCTTTAAAGCATGTTTACTGAGGAAAACGCTTTGCGCAATTGAGGAACCTTGAAACAAATGTTGTTATTGAGGATCAGGGGCCTTTGTGGTCTACGACCTTGAAAACCGTAATCTTTACATATCAGATTGATTAAGAAATTGATGGCTTTGGGAAGCTGTCAGTTTTGAAGAAGAACTAGAGAAACCTATATAAAAGACTAGAAGGGAGGGGGAGTGCAGGTGGACAGGGTTCAGAAAGATTCAATACCCTATTCATGTTTCAAATATATAATCAACAAATCCGATCCCCCAAACATTTGGCATAATAGAGGACCGTCAAAACAAACATGGATTAATTGAATTTGTCAAACACTTAGCTTAAACCCTTCCTATTGGTCAGTTGGCCAGCTGGTAGAGTCATTCCGAAATCGGGCAAAAAAGTGACGACAGACCACGTCTGCAGTGCATGGACCAAGCGATTTCTGGGGTGAATTAGTGGGAACTTGGACCTCCTTTGCTGGGTTCCTAAAGGATCTAGGTCCATCCTGTCTTGCTCTTTGCAGCCACTGCTCGCCTAGAATCACCCGAAAAATGATCCAATCCTCAGGATGTGAGGGCTTGACTGTCGGCTTTCTGTAGGGCAAACAGACACCAAGCTGAACTACCCCACCCATCCCTACCCTATGTGCCCAGAAAATGTACCTGGACCCACTTTCCTCTGCCTCTGCCTCCCCAACATACTGCCACTCAGCCACTGCCACCCAAGGGCAAATGAACAGCAGCAGCAACGAGAAGGATAAAGCCGGACAGGTGTCCTGACCCCCGCGACTTCGGAAACTGTGCTCCGACGTTTAAATTGTCAGGTCGAGTAGGAGGTCTAGCCTACAACTTGAGAGGAGGTAGGACAGTGGGAAGAGAAGAGAACGTGAGAGGCAGGAACAAAAATGCAATGTTCGACATGGTGATTTATCCCCTCGGAGGCGACCTTTCGTTAATAATATATATGCACTCTACATGTTCAAACATATGCTCTCGAAATGTTCACAAAGATTCTTAGGAAAACAAACTTGCCCCATGGCTCAGATCATCGGTGAGCATTAAATCGGAGCATCACAGGATTTAAACTATCCTGAAACCATAAGAGGCTCACGAAGACGGTCCCCAGGAGAGAACTGACGTGCTTCACAAAACAAACTCTAGGTATGTATCCCCTCGGGGAACACCTTTCGTGATTAGAATTTCATATGCACTCTTTCTGAATGTTCAAGAGGAATCATGAGAGGCTCACGAAGACGTTCTCCAGGAGAGAATTGAATTTAGTAGGGGGGGGTCGGTATTGAAAAAACAATTCGCCGGGGGGGGGGGGGGGGGGTTGAATTGAGCAATCAATTATTCGACCCGGACTCGCCGACACTTGCTTCGCAAGTCAAACTCTGTGAAGAGCTGACGAAGATTTAAGCCTTCTGGCGTAGCTATTCCTAAACCTTTGGGTGCTGCGCCACTTCGAGTTTCCACAGAACTCCCTCTACCAAACAATCTGAATACTGAAAGTGCTGACAGCGGAAAAAATGAACTCTGCTTGTGACCGCTGGGCAGATTTCATCAATCAACTCTACCTTTGCCTCGTTGGACGAGAGCCCCTCAAAAGGGATTTTTGAGCGTGAAAAAACATCGCCCTGAAGTCCTCAGAAGTCGATTCTGATGAAACACTGCAATGGGCGTGGATGGGACAAGAAATATTTGGCGCTACGAGCAGTGAAGAGTCGAAGAAACACCAAAAAAGGCAGAGTGCGGTGCCGCCTGAGCACGATGCGCCAGTGATTTAAGAAAGTGCACTCCAACGAACACATGGAATGTGGATGGGACCTCCTGTTTAGGTGAATCGGCCTCCTTTCGGGACGCCATCCACGGAACGTGACACAGAGTGTAAAGCTAAAGGGTAATGTGTCCTGCCAAATTGGAACTGATGTCAACGACGAGAAATGAAGAGTGGTTGGAGGGCATCATGCCCGCCTCCTGACTTTGGCACAAGTTATCGAAAGCCGTACCCCAAAAATATCTAAGCTGAAGATGTGCCAGGAAAATGGCTGAAAACGTCCTGGAATTCAGAAACTCTCACTGGTCATCACTGGTCCTTGTCTTTCTGATAAGTCTCCCACCAACAGCGAAAGGAGATCAATGCCATCAAGGAAGTTGAGATAAAGAAAATCTTGTGGAAGACCAAGTAGGAGTTCTGCGCATGATCAAGTAAATCCAAGTAACCTTGAACGTGCTCAAAGTCCAATGTCAGCCCAGAAAAAGCACACACACACACACCGAGACGGACATCATGATGATCACACACTCCCCACAAAGATCAGCGCGCTTAACCGTAATCCGTAGAAGCTTCATGCCACGGGTGATGCCCCAGCTGGCAATAAAGATAGTCCAGGAACCATATGACCAGTAGCGTCCTTGCCCCTAGTAGTAAGGCCAGGAGCCCCTAGTAGTTTTTCTTCAATCCATATGCCGAAGGACGTGGTCGGTGATGGATGTCCACCTGAAACAAGTCAGACTCATATCAGCTGTCTGTTGGCTCCTCACTCCTGTCAAACTACATCTGAATGATCCCGACTACCTATCAAAAAAACACTACTTTAAGAACACCATGTTGGAAACCCAAAATTATTGTTTATGCATTTTTAATAGGTGAAGGGATTAACCACTTAGAGATTTGAGCCCCCAGATTCTGCCAGGAGTTTGCTCAGGAAGAGGCGACAGGAAGCTTGTACATATGCAACTCTTGGTGCACACCTCCGGTCCAAATTTCTTTATCTTTAAACAAGAATCGAGTGTGTGTGTGTGACACATGTTTTTCCTTTTCAATTTATGCTTGTTAAACTTTAAACATCATTAAAAAATATGTTTAAACAAAAATCGAATGTGTATGTGTCACGTGTTTGATTTTCAATATACGTTAGTTCTCTTTGCTGCTGGCGAAAGGAAAAGCCACTCGGAACTTCACCAAGCCGCGCGCGATATGGAGCGTCAGGTACACGGCCTGGGTGCGCATCGAGTAGTTGGCCACTGAGCGGCGCAAGCAGAAGGTGTCCAGTAACCGGAAGACGACCGCGGCGTCGTGAACATAGTCGCCGGCGTAGCGGAAGAAGTTCCTCGTTCGCCGTACCGGCAACGGACGATGCACAACAGGGGAATCTGATGAAGTGGATGGCACCACCTGTTTTGGTGTTCGGACAAATCTGCTGAAAAGGGACTAAGAGTTTTACTTGCATGTTAGTGAGTGAGGCGGCTACTTAATCCCAACACAAGAGTGATGGGACTGAATATTGCATTGCCGCCCCCATTGACCGTTTTCAATATCCCCCAAGGTCTGGGTAAGTGTCACACACTAACAGTTGAGAGTGAAGTGGGAAATACAATGGCCCGTTCCTTCCTCGGGGTGGAGGCCAGAAACTCCGTGCCATCCGTGGCATGGGCGGATAGCACGCGGCCGGGCGCTGGTCCCTTCAAATCATCCAAAAACCCACCGCAGCAGTCAGGGCCCCGAGTAGTGGATTGAGAGGCTCGATGGCACAATCCCTCAAGTTTGGGAGATGGCTCCTCTTTTAATATCATTTATGATGTCAGACACCCCCATTTGTTTCAAACATCTTGGAGGCCGTGTGCCATCGAACCTCCTACACCACGTGGGATACCATAGACCGACCAGGAGCATCCCCCTATATCCACCAAGGGCGCGCCCTCAACATCTTCCCCAGGCTCCAGGATTCACCCAGGAACTGGGAAAATGATCCACGATTCTTTCAAGGGGTGATCCTTTCAGCTGCAGTATGCTGCAGTATGCTTCTTCTGGCTCCCAGCCTTTTATATAGGTGAACTGCCTGCATTCGTCCCGACGTTCTCGTTTTTCTTCGGTGATTCGTGTCGTTTTCGTGGATCTAGGGCAGGAGAGGGAACGAAGTGCAAACCGAAGTTGGAGGATGCCTCGCAAATCTCACTAAACATCACCAAACCATACCTGGAACTTCGTTACGGCAATAATAATTGCCGTTTTCATGAAACGTCGCCTTTTTCCGTTCTGCGGCGTTCTTCCATATTGATCTCATGGGGATGGCGTTTCTTGATGAACTGCGGCAGTTTCGGTCAGTTGACGGCAATTTTGGTCCACACATCCATGCGCCTCAAAGAGTCATTTCGTTTTAGTTTTAGTGCAGGCGAGTATGAAAACATTGTAGGGTCTTGCTTGAAAGGCAACTGAACGTAAAAGGCGTCTTATTATATCAGCAAACTCGCATAGTCATGTGAAGTGGAAAGGGCAGCTGATGGAAGTGTCACATGCTGGGTTTTCGTCGGTTTTCGCGGGTAACTCGACCTCTTGCGCGGCGTTGCAGAAGATTTTGCGTTTAAAGTTGCGGCGTTCTTACCCGTACTTACGGCGTTTTTCCCCGTACTTACGGCGTTTTTCCCCGTACTTACGGCGTTTTCCCCCTACTTACGGCGTCGTTCCCTTACCCTGTCTAGGGTCACTCAAGGTGGCAGCAAGACTTGTCACAACATGTCACAAGGGATCCTTTCAGCCATTGCATGATCAAAATGTGAACAAATCCTGCCGTGATGTCAATCGAGACCTTAGACAAGGGCTGCAACATCTTGAGAAGTGCTACTATGAGGCTTGAAAACGATGAGCTCTACTTACAAGTGAAAAAGGAGAAGGCAATTTCAGGGTATGGACAGACCAAAAATGACCAAAACAATATCCTCTTTGGTAGATCAAACAAAACGGCGATTCTTCTTTTGTGAGGGCGTTTTCACTTCTCTGACGGCGTTTTCACTTTCCAGGGATTGAGCTACGGCAGAAAAAATGAGTTACGGCAAAAATTATTGCCTCAACAGCCTACGGCAAAAATTATTGCCTCGGGAGGGTCTAGGTATAAACCCCATGTCTGTGAGCAATGTGAGTACCTCTTGCCCTTTTCCACTGTACCCTCCACCACAAACGAATTTCTTGCATGGCAAGCGGGTTTCTATGGGGTTTATGAGGATGGCATCAAGCTACCTGGACCCTCCAAAGTACCATAGAAAATGGGACACAACCCCTATGAAACAACAGGTACTTGTACACATGTTCTGCGGCACTTTGAGACTCCAGGTGCTTGCTTCTTTATCGCACCTGAGGTCTGCATCCCCGTTCGTGGTCTCGTTTGGGCCACCTCTACCATATTCCGATGTTCGTCATCCATCACGAGCTATACCTGAACATCGGAAGAACATCCTCAGCTGCTCAGATATCGGGAACACCATGGCCCCTAGATACGACCAGGACCTGGGACTGCGACGGACAGCCGAGAAACAGCCAGACCCCTCTGGCACCACCCCTGGCCGTTTCTGGGCAGTCCGTGCTGCCAGTCCCATGGCCGGGTCGTGTCTGGGATATGGTTAAGTTCAAGCACAAGAGCGACCAAAAGGGTGAACCAAGAGCCACAGCATCAGCACCCTCGCCGTTGGGCAACCCTTTGTTTTGGGGACACCCGTTTTCACGGTGCTCGTGAGCGATCCGTCTTCGTGGGAGCCGAGCCTGCCGCGTGTGGGGCGGCTTGGGGTGAGTTTTTTCTGCATTCCAGTAAGGGGTTGGGGAACTCCCTGTAGCTCCGAACTTAGACCCCGCACCCACCAAGACCAACTTCGAAACGGAGGTAGCCCCAGGAGCCCGAGAGGGCTCGTACCTATTTTCCAATCTAGAGAGCTCCCAGAACCTCCAGGTCAAGGAACCAGGAGGCATTTAACGGATTCCATGGCTTGATGGAAGGCTCCATCCGAAAAAAAGACAACGGTACTACTGTAAGTAATGCAGTAGCGTGCGGTCACCAAATGTCGCCAGCAGAAAGACTATGGCCCTGCACCACCTGAGAACTTGAGAACCATATATAAAAAACCATATTGGAATGATACACCGTATTGCAGTGGTTTTGAGGCAAACCTGAGGTGGTTTGCAGTGGTTTTGAGGCCAGTCTGGGGTGGTGTGTGGTGGTGAAGATGGATTTTCATCGAAATATCTCATCCAACGGCCATTTGGGACCGGACTTCTGTCGAGCCGCCCAACCGTGTTGGAGCCTAATGAGCTCTAATTCAAGCTGCAAGCTTGTCACAGGCGTATCGCCCATCAACAAGTTCGATGAAGTGATGATGGTCTTTTCGATGCCGTGATGGTCTTTGTGTCAGAAAGGGTTCTCCCATCAACGAGTCATGTTTGTGGCGAACGAGTTCACTGAAGCTCTGCAAGGTAAGCCGGAAGATGCTGTCGTACCGTGGGCCTTCGCACCACCCTGCGTCGGTCGACTGACCGACTGCAGGGCCAACCCCAGGGTGCTGTGGCTTTGGTTCCCCCTCTTGGTCGCTCGTGTTGCTGCTTGACCATATCTTCGTGTTCAACGCGGCAGCGACAGCCCTTCTGATTCAGTCGGTTTGAGCCCACAGCTGCTTTCCCCAGTTCCGAGTGGGGAGCGTGGGGAGCTTTCTGAGAGGTGAAGCAACATCAACCACCGTCAACCACCAAACACTGGCAGGTACCTGAAGTCCAGTGCCAGGAGTTAAATGGAACATGCCATTACCCTAGAACCCCTAGAAAGACAGCTGCATGCATTGGGTCTATCCTATTACAGTACCAGGGCCCAGTGGGTGATGATGGTTCGGTTGCAGGACCTTTCCATCTCAAAAATAGTGATGTTCTTGTGAAACCCCACACTTTTACAGGTTTACTAGGACAAACCGAACCCCTTTGCAATGCACGGTTTACTGGGCAGCCCAAGTAATGACTTTTGAGAATCACGGATAGAACCTCGTTCAAACGCTGGACCGGACCGCTTGGAGAGTGGAAAGCCCAGTGGAGAACGATCCGTACCAAGACCCCCCAACACTCCATGGTAGGGATGAACACCTATAGGACCCTATACATTTGTGCCTATAGATGGACCCCCCAAAAAATGAAAACAACAGCGTCAACACCGCCAAAAAGGTGCAGGCAACCAAAGTCCCGCCCCATGAAACGTTGGGGAATCGAACCAAAAACAGCATCGAGCTGGGAAGAACATCTGGCCTACATGACTGGTGGTTTTTGGTGGTGAATGTTGGTCACATTTGCTCCCATGGACCGTCTGGCTATGAGGGCCGGGCCGCTGGAGTCGTGTCGAGATGAACAGAAATCGACAATGGCTGTTTTTGGTAAAGACCTTTTTGAACATGGTGCGGCCAGCAATCCCCGGTATACTTGGATCCTGGTTTTGGTGCTTCAAGGCCTTGGGAAACCCAAGTACAGTACTTGTCAAGTCCAACTCCCTGTCCAACATCAACTCCTATATCTTCACACCTGTCGCAATCGCCAAAAGTTAAAGTCGTCAGACGGATCCTTCGACGCCTAGAAACTGATGGCGATCCCTGAAATGCAAATGTCTGCAAATGGTATAGGATTCATGCTGATGTCAAATACCTATAAGTACTTATCACTATTTCAACTTCATTTGGTGACCCGGATTGTTAAAGTACCTACACCATGCTGCACCCGCTTCTAGCGCCCCCGCAGGGGGGGGCGATGGGGGGGTGTCCCGTGATGGTGAAAAGCACCCCCCAAATACCCCTGAACATCCCCACCCCATTAGGACTGGAATCGTTAAACGGCTAAACGTACAAGTACTCTATCCAACAGCTTTGTAAGACTTCAGTCGGTGGTGACCGTGGTGACCTGTAGAGAAGCTGGTGCATGTGCCACTCTTCGAGTCCCATGGGTGGGGTGAAAACAATACGTCAAAACAAATCCCAAACACGACCTGTCTGGGACTGCGACGGACTGCCGAGAAACAGCCAGACCCCCCTACCACCAGCAGTCCTATGGCCATTAGTCGTGTCTGGGAATAAAACACCCTGGCCCCCGGCCTCCAGAGTAGACCTCCTCCAAGAGCAAATGTTCCCGCAGGCGCTCGACCGACTCCTTTTTGGGAGGGCGGAGGTTGGCTCGAAGGTGGGGAAGACCGTCCATGGGACCGGCATGTTTGCCAAATAAGTACTTGCAGACCTTCTTTCGGGGTGTCCTGTCTGGAGGTCCCTTAGTGTACGTGGTGGGCTGGGGCGAAACCAGCCAGGTAACCCCGACATGAAGGTGCTGGTAGAGATATAGATCGTTTTAAGGGGTCAATGTATATTCCCGTCTCCTGTGGTTGATGGACGGGGAGCTATTTTTGCGACAGGTACCATGAGTCATCCATGTGAAACAAACCATGGAAGAGTTTCCTCGGTGGCACCGGTGTTGTCTATAGTCTATGTCTTCCAATCCGGTAGTGGAACATCGGGTTCCAGGAGGCCATTCTCCATGATTATCATGATTGGAGGGAGGGTAGCTGCACCAGTGGTTTTCGCTAGTTGCCGATCAGTTGACACCTTTCCAACCCCTCAACTGATCGGCTACCCGCGTCCGGAGCGCCGGTTTTCGGACACCGCCCGTGAACCGGACCTGCGGCCACCGGTTCGGACGTCCCAGTGTTGCAGATCCTGGAGGTGTCTTCTTGGGATTTCACATGGAGTCCC